TCAATAATTAATTAGTTAATTAATTATGATAAACCGGATTTTAGGGCGTTACATTCTTTATCAAAATATATTTCCAATTCCAAATTTTTATTTCATTATATATCTATGTAATTTGGAAATGAGAAATATAATATGAAAAATAGGTACACAAGTTATGGATTGGAAAATTGTATCAAATGTAACTAGAATTGAAAAATTAAGATGCTGATCATTAAATAAATGATTAATCTCATCTAATTAGAAGTGTTGATTATGTTTGAGGACTATTTTCAAAATGAATATTTTTGTAAGAATGACTTAAATAAAAAATACTTGGTCCGTCTCTGAGTGTTTGTCCACTTTTGACTTTTGGAACTGTTCATCTAAGCACTTTGACTCATCAAATTCTCTCAATGTGTAAGCCTAAAAATAGTCATGTGTGATCTTGTTTGATTCGTCTTAACATATAAATTATTAATATATAATTTTTATAATTTTTTAATATACAAATTACAAGATAAAATGGATTAAAGAAGTGCATTGGATGGTGTGCAAAAATGAAAGTGGACAAACACTCAGGGACGGAGGAAGTATTTTACAGGGACTAAAAATAAAGTTCGACTATTTTACAGAGACTAAAAGCATATTCAACACTTAATACTATATACAATTTGTGTTTCCAAACAAAGAATTTAGAATTATAGTACAATTTTATATCAATCTCTTAATTATACCAAACAAACGATATGAAAATGAATTACAATTCAATTCCATCCAATTCAATTACAATTTCATGTACGTAGCGCAATATTTTTGTGGCCGAGCTACTTTATTGCAATTGTTTTAGAGAATTGAGAGAGTCACAACTAAAAAGTTCATAAAATTTATAAACTACTACCTCCGTCTCAGAGTATTTTTCCACTTTCATTTTTACACACCATCCAATACACTTCTTTAATCCATTTTATCTTGTAATTTGTATATTAAAAAATTATAGAAACTATATATTAATAATCTATATGTTAAGACAAATCAAAAAAGATCACACATGACTATATTTAGGCTTACACATTGAGAGAATTTGATGATTCAAAGTGCTTAGATGAACAGTTCTAAAAGTCAAAACTGGACAAATATTCCGGGACGGAGGGAGTATTTGTGAACCTCCTTTTAAAAAATAAGAGTTTTAAAATAATTAAAATGAAAATATTTAAATTCACAAATGACTAGTTTATAAATATTGTGATCTTTTTTATGTGTGATTATTCCATCATTTACTTCTTTGTTGAGTTTGTTCTAATTTTTTAAAAGAATAAATTTCATAATTGGTTCTTTATAATTTGAAATTTTTTTCTATTTGGTCTTCTATTATCAAATATTACTGATGTGGTTCTTTTTCTATGAGCACTTTTTCATAAATAATCCTTTTTGACTTTCTGTCATGTTGGTATTAATTTGAGGGATAAAAGTATAATTTGAAATCACTTATGGCTGGTGACGTATTCTTATGTCGCTCAGAAGAATACAAGTCAACAATATTGACTATAACTATAGACTATAGGTATAGTAGAAAGCGATTACAATTCACCAGCGATTCAGGAGCGTCCTCTGAAATTGTGTATGAAAAAAAAAGATATATACTTGGTGTAAAGCCCACTTTAAATTTTTAATGGGATTAACAATTCTGAACATCTATTGGTGTAAAGCCCAACACAAAGCTTATTGGACCCGATTCATTTCGACCACTACTTGGCAGGATCTTGTCAAGGACACAACGGTCATGGCACGAATGCAAAGTGTCAAAAGATTAATTTTTGATTAAATTCCATAAAAGGTCCTCAGTTATAGATCGTTTTACATATTTAGTCATTACATATCAAATATTACTAATTTAGTCCTCAATTATTATATCATTTTTCACGAATGATCCTTTGTTAACGTTTTTGTTAAAAACATGGATAAATCTGTATATTCATACTCCTCTCTTTCCTCAATTAAGCTTCCTCCCTGAGTTTAAAGCTCTAAACTCGAAACTGAAATGATCATTCCTTTCTCAATTATTAGTCTTTCTGGTTTCGAATTTGGGTTCCACCATTTAGACAAACAATTGAGAGAAGAATGATGATTTCGGTTTTGGGTTCAAAGCTTCAAACTCAGCGATGAGTTTGGGAAAGGAGTGCGAGGGGATGGAAAAAGCTTAATTGAAGAGAGAAAGGAGTGTGAATTTACAATTTTATCCACGTTCTTAATAGAAATGTTAACAAAGGACCATTCGTGGAAATGAATATAATAATTAGAGACTAAATTAGTAATATTTGATATGTAGGGACTAAATATATAAAACGACCTATAATTGGAGACCTTTTATGGAATTTACTCTTAATTTTTTTAACTTATTCTGTACTATTAATTTTCAATCAGAAACAATTTTAAGTATAATTGGGGGGGTGTATTCAAAATCCTAATTGAATACTTATGGATTTTTAAAATCCAAAAACTCCTACATAGTCCCTATTGAATACATCTCCCTTAGAATCATAAGTTGAAGAGAACAATCACTAGGCCTCAAAAGATATATAGTTAGGCTAGTCACATATTTTATAATAGACAAACAAGAGAAAAGTTTATAAATAGTCCGTAATTACAAGTAGTTTCTATATTTAGAGTTTGTTTTTTAGGACTGGAAAAAAAAAGTTGGAAGAAACTGGAAGAAACATGAATGAACTGGAAAAACTGGAAAAAATTAAAAAAATCTGAAAAAATTAGAAAAAAATTAGAAAATCTAAAAAAACGTTTAAATTTTTTTGTGTTTTTTTATATTATTCTCATTATAATTCTTGTTGTTATAAATTATTATTATTAGTTAAGAGTTCAAGCTCTGAAAAACAGGCTCTTAGAGCATGTTCTTTAGAATTGGAAAAAATAGCTAGATGTTGGAAGAAACTGGAAGAAACTAGAAAGAATTGGAAAGAACTGGAAAATCTAAAAAAAATTAAATTTTTTTGTTTGTATTTTAAGAGTGCCTAGTACTAACTTATAAATTTTCATTTTAAACAAGCAAATTAACATGTCCTAATTCTCTCCTCATCACCTTCTTCGCACATCTTTCTCTTTTTTTTAACTTTCTAAAGTGTGTTTTCTTCGTCTAATCTTTTAAATCTAATCTGATTTTTTTAAGGCTGATCTGATCTAATCTAATCCGAGTGAATAGATTTGAACGTTTGCTATGCTTTAATGGATCTTATCCTTTAATGGATCTTATCCATCTGCTTGTAGTTTAATTTAAAATTTTGTTGATCAAATATGATTATATTGTCTACTCAGCATTAAAAGAACAACATACATGATGACTGGGCAGCATCAGAGTAACAATATAAATATGAGATAATTTTGGGAGTAATGATGTAATTTAATAAACTTGAGAGTAGTAATGTAAAAATGTGAATTTTTAGAAGTATTCATGTGAAATTTTTCAAAATTATTTTGTCTTATTTGGTGTAAAGGACTATTTATGAAACAATTTTCAAAAATTAAGGACCATATTAATGTAATATCTAGGAACTGGAAACTAAATTTAAAAACTATCTATAATTAGTGACCATTTATTAAATTACTTAATAAAAATTATTTCATCAAGTTTGTTGTAGAATATTGAACAACCATTTATTAACAAATAGTTACATGTTCACTACAAATAAACTCTACAAAATGTTGTGTGCTGGGTAATCATAGATGAGTCTCAAACTCTCAATAAGTACTTCATCCCTCCTAGATTAAAGATTAAGGTAGGGTTACGTTCAATTTATTTTTTCTGCCTATTACTTATTCTTATTATAATCAGATCAAATCAGACCAGGTCAACTTAGACTAGACCATATCAGATCAGAAGCATCTTTCATTATAACTACAATCAGATCATATCAGACTAGATCAAATCAAGCGAACGGAACGCAACCTAATTATTCTATTCTTTTAGTTCATAAAATTATTATCCTACTTTCTTACTAATATAATTAATAAAGTAAAAAATATATGGTTCACGATCTTTATCTTTCTTCTAAAAAAATTCTCAATCATACATTTTTTATTTTTTACGAAGTGAGAAGAGTGTTCTTGAAGAGAAAATGATATGTGTAATTAATTTAAAAATGACAATATAATTTTCTCTTGATTCACGTAGAGGACCATAAGCTACCGGTTTATAACCATTTATAATAAATGAAAAATAATAGACCCATTGAACAAGAGTGTGTCTTTGTTGCACCTTGGGTGCATATTGATTTTGTGAACCTTCTTACATAGTAAAAAAAAATTTAAAAAGAAATGTTTATTTAAGTAGTAAAGAAATGCTTATTTTGCTCATATATAGAGGTCCACCATAGAATTTGCCATTGAAAAAGAAATGTTTATTTAAGTAGATGTCTTTCTTGGCCATAGCTCGTAATTTGCCATAGAAAAAATTTGCCACCATAGAATTTGCCATTGAAAAAATTTAAAAAGAAATGTTTATTTAAGTAGATGTCTTTCTTGCCATAGCTCGTAATTTAAGTTAACAATTCTTTTAGAAAGTTACAAAAAATCCAAGAACTTCAAAAGATAGATTTCTACTCATCTCGAGAGATTCAATTATCTAAATATCCAGAAAGTTACATACATATCCAAAAAAATATAACTTTTCAACCCAAAATGAATTCGGGCAAAATGAACACGCCCTAAAAATAATTAGTGTGATTTTGTAATGGTGAACATAAAAATAAAAGCAAGAACAAGAAATGGCAATGGAGAAAGGAGCTAAGCAACCTAATTTAGGAAATTAAAAAAGGTCATCAAAAAGGTTAGAGAGGCTAATGGCGTGGAGATGAATGAGAGAGACGTATGGGTCACATTGGATGTATAGGGGATATGTTTTTCACATGACTCTTTCAGGCCGCTATCATCCTAAAATTGCACCCGAGATAGTGCTACAAAAGATTTGATTGTCCTTTCCAAATTAGGAATGTCCCTTTGATCAATGCATTCCTGACAAATTGTATGTTACAACCCGATGTACCTCCCTCTTCGTATATCATGAAGAATTTGTATTTAAAAAAATATTTTAAAATGAACACTATGTTATTTCAAAATGAACAGTATGTTGTTTTAGAATGAATACTACAGTGTCTCATAATGAACACTATGACGAGCAGTATTTAGAATGATCACTATAGTTAAAACTAAATATTGTATTGATTCAAAATAAATATTTACTGAGTGTACCTAACACTACGTATAACCGGGCATACAATATACAATTATTACAATCTCATACATCCAGCTCATTTAATATTGTTATTATTTACTTGCATTTAGGCCCAAAACACTCAACTCATTCTATCCACTAAAGAAAGCCCGGGTGAGATAAGCATTACGACAGTAGTATACATGATATGGGCCGGGAGCAAACCGACCCAAAAGTGTGGCCCAATCTCGCGACATTGATGGGTAAGGTGACATCTATGAAGAACAACGTTTTAGCTTTAACATTTTAAAACTTAATCTACACCATTAAAATTAAAAATAATCTAAAACGCTAACATTAATTGATAACATAATAAGTATTTTAGCCATTAAAGAACTTGGGTAAGTATTTAAGCCATTCAAAGAGTTAGTAACAAAGTGCATAAACTGCATATATAGACAGAATGGTACACGCTACAATTGACCTAAAAGGAGACAGTCCAAACAAACAGCAAATCAGAACAAACATTTTATGACCAAAACATAATAATCGCACCATCTAACTCCCAGCAGACGGCAGAGCAGCCATGAACGAATTGTACGAAGACTCGAGATCAAAGTGCAGCTGGCGAGACTGCTGCTCGGTCAGCTCATCTGCGGCCCCCATTTTCGACAGCCTCCCCAGCCACTCTCTCATCTTGGTCTTCCCTTCAAAGTCAGGGGGCAAAATGGACAATTTGTTGAGTGAGGACGACAATTCGGAGAGCAGGGGATGGACCTGGTCAATGGCAACCATGTTCAGCTTCAGTGAGTCCATGGCTGTGATGAAGTTCTGCACACACTCAGCCACCACCGCAGCTGAAGTGGAAGCCGACATGGCTGCTGCTGCGCGGTGCTCAACTGTGGCAGGTACCCCTGAAGTGACAAGCCTATTCAGGGCTGAAGGGCAGTCCAGTTTGTAGGTATCGTGGAACCGTTCAATGCTTGGGACCATGTCCTTCAATCCTGAGGACAGTGTCTTAAACTGAGCAATCAGTTTCTGGCATTCGTTCTCATAATCTGATGGGGGTATGATGTCCCGGACGTAGGCCTTCTCCAGCTTCTCTGTGGCTTTAAAAATGGCAAACAGCTCCGCAAAATTTTCATACATTTCTCTTTCGCGGTTATCATTCCATAGCTTAACCTCCATGGCTAATATATTTATACTACAGATTGTATTATTATAGAATCATAAAAGTAATAACAAGTTGTTGGAGAAGGGAATGGGACACGCGCAAAGATGCCTGCTCCTTCACTGTCAAAAGGGCGAAAACAACAATTAGAATAGAATCAAATGCTAACTTCATGTACAAACACTATCGGACACATAACAAATATCAACAACAAGACAAAGCCTTAGTCTGTTCTCTAATGTATCAAACAATGAGAAAAAAGAACTGGCTTTCCAAGAAAGGCAATCCTATGAAAACTTTCCAAATCTTTTGATTTCTAGTAGAAAGAGTTACTAGTTTCAAGTAGCCTCCCGAAAATAATAATATGAACATCACAATACTATGAAACGCATAATATGCAAATTGATTTGGCTTGATCATCAGTCATCACAAAATGGTTGTCTCTAATCAATAAAAGGGTACAGTACAAGCCTAAAAGGGTTCTACTACAGATCAAGTAGACCTGGAAAACAACAAAATGTTTGTTCTATTCTAAAGCATAATCACATCCAGAATATGGTTCAGAGTTCAGACAGTGATGCTAATCTAAAATAGGAAAAGACAAGAAACTACAAACCAGATGGTAACAACTAACAAACAATCAGAACCAGAATAGATGCAATTTTCCCCTAATTCCCTCTTTTAAGGGGAAGAGAAAAAAACCCATACACTTGTAAATATCTTTATACATATACAATTGGGCTTTTACATTTTCACACCACCCCTGTCGCAGATCAAGAACCCTAACCTCAAACAAACAACAAGAGGCATAAAGATTTCTTTTTTATGATAAAGAAAGCATACAAATCAACAATGTTTCAAAAGAAGTCCACAAAATCAAACGCCAAGTGTAAAACTGAAACTGATCAATGCGATTCAACAAGGGAGAACGCAAAAGGAAAAGAAAATAACCCTAATTTCCACCAATACCCATCCAAATACGAAAGACCCAGAACGAAGAACACAGAAATTCATGACCAGAAACGAAAGGGATCAAACATAAAGCAGTACTGTGGGTATAACATGAAGATGAAGAAGAAGTGGAGAACAGAGATAGAAGAACCTGGCAAGGTTTATCTGTACATGGTTAAAAGCGTCGAGGAGCAGGAAATTGGCAGATCTGGGTGGAAAGTATATGTAGCAGTGGCGGGTGAGGGGTAGGGTGGGGGTGGGGGGACGGGGGTGATGGGCAAAGGAAAAAGAACGCGGGTTTGAATAATGGAGAAGGAAGGAAGAGTGTTGCAGGTGACGAAGAGGGGTCAGGTCAGTCCAGTTGTCGTTGTGGGTTCTATTAAGGCCCACCGCTTCAAAATTTCTCAAGCTTTAACTTACATCACAATTTCGTTGGAAATGAGTTTGAAGTTCAATGGCTTCAAGCATCTATTTTTACATTTTGAATATACATCTTCTAAAAATAAATTGATAAAATTTTATTATTTAATTGAGTTTAAACGATAATAATTTATTAAATAAATAAATTACATTCAATAAAAAAAATTACATTAATAAAATAAGATTTGAATAATAATAACAACATAAATTAAAAAAATTAAAAATTACATTACATTAGGTAGAATTTATGATTATTCGAGCGACTAAAAATATCTTCAATCAAATCCACTGTTAGTGTGTGTATTGTAAATCTCTTGACTTCAAATTTCTTGGCGGTTTTGTCGTTTCTTTTCTTCATCGATTTTTTAATACGTGGGCACGTAAAGACAAATTGTAAACTTGTTATCTTCTATGATCATATTATGAAGAATAATACATGCGTATATAATATTCCTCGTTTTCGTTTGAGAATAACACTTGGACGGATGATTTATTTATATACGTGGGCACGTAAAGACAAATTATAAACATGTTATCTTCTATGATCATATTATGAAGAATAATACATGCGTATATAATATTCCTCGTTTTCGTTTGAGAATAACACTTGGACGGACGATTTAGAAAGTGTCACTTACCCTTCGACACTCTGAAGGCTTGTTCAATATCTTTTATCACCGCCTCATTAGCTTTTTTTTGTAGGCCTGACATTTAAGACTCATTAATTCAAAGAGGGATTTGACAATCGTGAAATAATCTGGATATATTCCATTGGCAAGATAATACCCACGTTTGTAAAGCGTCTCTCTAAGTGCAGATGACGAATCAGGTGCAGTCTCATTAATCCAATCGTAAAAAACGAGCGATTGATCAAGAACGTTGATGTCGTTGTTCGAGCCCGCAACACCAAAAAAATATGTCAAAACCTTAAGTCATTAGAAGCCACATCTTCGAGCATGATAGTAGGTTTGAGATGATAACCCCGGGAGAACTAACCATGCCACGTAGTGGGATAATTTTTTCATTTCCAATGCATGCTCCCAAGCATGCCGACAAAGTCGTGTTTAGCGATATGTCTAGCCAGTAACTGCTCAATTTCGTTCGTTGTCAGCTTACCTAATTCTCATAATTAAATCCCACTTTTATATGCATGCACTTGTTTCTTCCCATTCCCTCCTTTTTAAATACTCCGTATACAGCATTTCTCGCCAAACAAACGAAACCGTAGTGCATTCTTACGTTTTCACTTTTCCGTGTTCACCCTTTTACCTCGTATACATTTTGAGTTTACCAAGTGTGTGGGTGAAATAAAGTCAACTGCTTGGGGGAAGTTAAATTTATTAAATTGTGTGGCTGGAATAGAGAGTAACAGCTCAAAATTTTGTTTGTAGTCCATTATATGAAATGAAAGGCTGATAGATTGGAGCTCAGATCTGGGGCAACTACTAACACACACACGTGGGGAAGGTAAAGGTAAATCAAATGACATATACACACACACACACTTACTTCTCTGACTTGTAAGATATGGCTTACACAAGAGTTAATGTAGTATGACACTGTGCGGCAGAAGAGTTAAACTATTGCACCCAACTTTGATAGCCACAAAGCCCTTGACTCTGAGCTCATCTGGTCGAGAAGATAATTTTACATTGAACGTTAATCCGAGTTCTACAACAGCAAAACATAATTGAAAAATTGTTCCATGTAAGATTAAAAGGTGTTACTCTTCCCTAAATAGAACAAACTATGATTTTTTGTATATATAGGAGTTTTTTTACTTTTAGCTTCCAACTCTACCCTTTTTGTATCATTTCCTTTATGTCGGTGGGCGTTGTGCAATTGGCAAGGGAAGGGCGTAAGACACGAGTTCGATTTCTAGCAACTGTGCTGGGAAGTAAATATGCTAAGCATAGGGCCTCTGCATGTACCAGGTGCAGGCTCCACTCTTTTCCATCAATCTGCGATTAAAGTCTAATTTACCTCTTCTCAGTGACCGTCTGATGAGGTCTGAGGGGGCCCTCGGGATGTAGCTCATCCTTTTCTTTATGCTGTTTTTCTTTCTTTCTTTTTCTTTAATACTCTGTATTTCCTTAACTTCTTTAGGAGATAATTACTCCTAAAATTTTGGGAATAACGTACTCCTATTGAGGCTTGCTTTGGTTAATTGTTACTCCGTACTATTTTCTTCTTTTTTTTTCTTTCTTTTGCATAATTTATTTGCAAATCAAGTTATATGAAAATTAAAAGTAACATAAAAATAGAATTTATATATTTGAAAACTACATAAAAAATCATGCAAAAAAGATGTGACGACAATATATTATTTTATCAAATGAGTAATGAAAGTGTGCAAGAACTAATAATTAAACTTTGAACATAAAATAGTAAACCAGTTTTTATTTTCTACATTCAAGCAATTAGTACAATTTGCTTTAGTAAATTCATAGGTCATTGTATAAGAAACTATTAAGTTATTTTAAGACAATGTCCTAAATGTCAATGTCTTGCATTTTCTTCATGCTCTTTAAGATTCTTATTTACCAATGTAGTGTCCTTTTTTATTATTCGTCAGTTCTGGTATTATGATGCCAACGAGTAAGTAAAGTTTACAATGACCTTTAATTTCAGATATTATTGTGTTGGAAATATGTCAAAACAATGATTTTTGTTAGACCAAAAGAGTATTCTACAAAGAAGACAAAAAAAAGAGATGGTATGTAATGCCACACATGCTGCTCCAACTTGCTATGAGACCAAACCCCTGCCAAAAGCACTTGTCAATATCCCAAGCATACAGCAAAATCAAAGTCCACATGCCAAGCCACAAACCCAAACCACAAGCTTTTGCCTCCATATCAAAGACTCAAAGCCTAGTCTTTACATTCAAAATCTGATCCCTTGCCAAACTATATCTTGTTGAAACAAGGATCATAGTCCAGACTCCAGACCCAAAAACCAACAAACCAAAACATAGGTAGCAAAGTGTTTAGTACGTAGCTGTTCGAACATAGCAGCAACTCGATGGCAACAATTCGCCAATTCCAATCCAAATACCCAAAAAAAACCAGTAAACCAAATCGATAACAACTATTCAACCATAGGCAACAGAACTCTCATACTCATATCATGTAAAGTCCAGATTAAAACATAAAGCTTGACCCAAGTAAAACCAACTAAATAGCATAGTTCAGAGCAAAAAACAAAGCGTGTAATCTTCAGTTGACCCTTATATATTCATATCCACAATGACCATATACATGAAATGCTGTAAGTGTATGTGGACATTAATATTCTTATACTCAAACTCTTAGATAGGCATGTAATCATGTTCTACTTCAGTGTAGGAATCATATTCTTATTGCCCTCATCAACATATATAATGACTTGTAAATTGTAATATGAAACAAAAAAAACAAAAACTAACACATTTATTGTCCTCGTCAACATAATGACTTGTAATATGAAATCATATTCTAAGTCAACTATTTTTTACCTTCTAAAATAACTTCTCAAGTCATTATCAGATCTATTAAGACATTTATAAACAACCAAATTTGATTTAGAATATGATTTCATATTATGTGTCTGCCAAGTACAAGGAGTGATTTTACTCACCAAAAACCCTGATTCCGCCACTGCAAGTACCAATAATATATTTACTCTCTTTACAAATTTAAAATATAGCTCAATTTGACTCTTCTCGATTTATTGTTCATACTTGTTCAAGAGGGGCCTTGGGGATTGAAATATAACCCCACAAGAAAGGGTTTAGGTAGAAGAGGAGAGGAGTGGTAGAGTAATGCCTAGAGTCACAAATAACTTGGACATAAACTACTCAACTTTGTTATTTGTGTACTTTTCCAAGTAAACAAAATGGTTTTGAGTAATTACACAATAAAAATTTAAATATGCATATGGCAAATTTGTATAGTTCCTGTCTAAGTTGTTTGTGACCCTAGCATTACTCGTAACATTCAGGTCTTTACACCACCAATCACCATGCTTAACCAATCTTTAAGCCAGTTTACCTACTCTTATAGTAATTTGTCTTGTTAAAAAGTTAAATGTGTACCTATAAAATGAATAAGTTAACACGCTCGGGAGCAATTGTAGTCAGTTGCTTCTCAGCATAGTGTTTAGCAACGCGTTCTGCAGCTTGCCGCTCTTCCATCTTATGAGGATACTCAGGGACAGGCAGATCACATTTCTCCTGAGGATTGATTGTGACTTTCTCCAACGCAGTCGAATTCCGAAAGATATACGCCAAAAGCTCAAGCTCACCAGCACAACCATGATATCCATATACTAACACCTCTTTAAGATGTTCAAGTGGAGATTCTAAAGCCTCCTTCCATTCCCGTATCGTCCTATCGGGTTTAAACCAGCTCAACTCTAGAACAAAAGTTTGCAAGTTTGGAGAGGCCCTGAGCAGAGATGTTAAGCCAATCAGACTAAAATCCTTTTCTGGTTCAGTATATATGTGTAATTCCTTGAGCTTAGTTAGTTGAGGAAATTCTTGCATCTCCATTTTTTGTATTAAACGGTGCGAAACAGCCAGACGAAGCATCTCTAATTGAGAGAAGGCGCAGCACGAAAGGCGAGATAAAACACTCTCAACAGGTTCGTACATCCGAGGAAAACTTACACGAACAAGACTGGGTACATTATGAAGCTCCAAGTCTCCACAAGTCTTGAATCCAATCGAGACTATATTTGTATCCGACACGCTAACATGTTCTAGCCTGCAACACCACACTAATTCCAAGTGCTTCAACTTGAGATTTGGACCTGTCACTTGTAGATGTTCTAGATGGTGCGAGTAATGCACTACCAATCGTTCAAGCAACCGACAATTTCCCACAAAGAAGACGAGCACGTCATCATTGACATTGATACTCTTGAAGCACAACTCTTTCAGGCACCTAAAACCACCGCCACTTAGGGTGAGTGGATTAGGAAAAACAGAGGTATCGGGTTCGTTATGCCGATAGTACCTCGCATCCAAGAAGCTGAAATCCAGCTTTTCCAAACGCTGCGTGGAGCACGCAAACTTAACCCAATCGTCAATGTAACCCTGGTGGAAGTTCCTTATATCAAAACGGACCTTGAACTCGGTTACCAATTCCTTGGCTTTGTGAAGTTTCAACACTCGGTTTACACAGTCAACATACTTGGTGGCTTCCCCAGGTATTAAGGCGAAATCTGGTGGCAATTTCATGTAATCTCCCATAACATCAAAATCAAGAGTTGGTGTATGCATCCACATCTCTTTCCACCGACTTGACAATACACTCGTACGCGCTGCTTGTTTACAGTTCATATACGATAGTATATGAACAAGTATGTCATCTGGTAATTCACTAATTCTATCCTTTTCTTCCTCCTCTCCACTACTCATCCGCTTTCTCTTCAAACACTTCCTGGGTACAAACAAACCAGATCTGCTTGCAACCCTTTTCCTCATCGTCAAGGTCGAACAATTAAATCGATTGACCACAATTCATCTGTCAGTTTGGAGAAACAAAAATGGAATTGAAGCAAAAATGCATCAACTTTTCTGATTTGTGATGATAATAGTAACAATAATAATTATAATAGCAAAAATTCAAAGGTCTGGAAGAGCAAAAACTACAAAAAGCTTCCAACTTTAAACAAAAGTTCATCCATTCATGCTTGCATCTATACGTTGCAAGCCCCAAATCATCAAACACTATGCTATATTTCAATTTTCAATGAAGCTCAAGCGTCAATATTTGAACTTTTCATCAATTATTACATCTTTCCGATTCAGGGGCTTGGTTAGGGTGGTCGTGATCGCCAGTTTACCTACTCTCATCTATAAAATGTCCATGTCTATCTGCATTCCCGATACCCAACATTTGGATTAAATAACCAATTTCCATTTATTCAAAAGACCTACTCTTTTCCACTTATAATGCCCTGAGTATACCAAACATATGTGAAAGACCAAATACTAAACAGTAAACAATAAGCTAAAACCAATTACTTTAATTCATTCAAATACCAACATTGGGAGTTAATAATCTTTTTCAAGTTTTGGTTATCCCAAAACCACACATTTTGCCAATTTTATTGACCTGAATATCATTCTCCACAAGTTAAACAAAAAATTGCAAAAAAACAAAACCAGAAACAAAGCTACACCTTTCAAATATCAACCCAAATTAAACAGACATTATCACAAACACCACACCTGCATGATTGTATCATTGGAGAATACGCCACAAATTACAATTTATCACACTTAATATAAAACACCATGAACTTACTCGTCCGGATGCGCTCTTCACTAAATTTGTTGTCTTTATAATTGGCATCTTGTCAATGAGATAAAGTCATCATCGTCCCGTACAACGCCCATGGACACTATTTTTCTCACAGCGCCGCTCTTCTTTAACATCACTCTCTTCATCAACGGCTTCTGAACTTCAATTGTCTATGACCTAATTCCTAAAATTGGAAAACCAAGATCTATTATGACTTTGAAATCCTTATGCGGTAGAAGTCGCTATATACTTGGAAAGAATTATTGCCTTTATTTTGTTATTTCCCATACAGAAGCCGAAATTTATTTTGATATTAATTTTTACAAAATTCTAATTGTGGAGGCTATTGTAGTCATTTTGCCTATGGAAACGTTGGGTCACATAGCACTAGTTCTATTTAGGGAAATGCTTTTAGATCCTATTTAAATAAAATCATGTATAATAAATAAATGAATTGATTTTATTAGGAGTATGTTGTACTCCCTCCGTCCCCCTGTATTTGTCCACTTTCATTTTTACACACCATCCAATGCACTTGTTTAATCCATTTTATCTTGTAATTTGTATATTAAAAAATTATAAAAATTATATATTAATAATCTATATGTTAAAACAAATCAAACAAGATCACACATGACTATATTTAGGCTTACACATTGAGAAAATTTGATGAGTCAAAGTGCTTAGATGAACAGTTTCAAAAGTCAAATGTGGACAAATATAGGAGGACGGAGGGAGTATATTGTATATTTATAAATTTATTAAAATATATAAAATGGCCAATCCGGGTCTACTTGTTTCTAAATATTAAGAACAGGCCCGACTTGTATTGCTAAAGGATCCACCCTGGCCCAGCTTGTTTTTAAAGATTAAATTTTGGACTGGCCCTAACTCGTTCCGAACCGTGCAGTTCGATTCCAACCCATGATTCGAGGACCCGTTTGCCCACCTCTTAAAATGTCCATCTAAATTATTATTCACATGATCAAACTTTAATCATATTTTTTACTTATTTTTGTAAGTTATTCGATAAAATAATAGTCTTTGATGCAGCAGAGGACCCAAATGGAGCAACGGCATTGGCACTTGTCTTTCATTCAAAGCACGACAAGCGCCGGAAGGGGGTGAAGTAATCTTTTAGGGTGTCACGCTATTTTGGACATAACTTTTGATAAGAGTGTCCATTTTTAGCGTGTGAGCACTTTCCAAGAAGGTCTCAACATGATGCACAGGGGCCGATGGGTCAAAGCTTTGACCTCAAATTCACTCGTTCAGGCCGCCATTTTGCATTTTTATTGCTTTTGGGCTTATGGCATATTTTATGTTCAACCTATTTATTTCTCATTTCTATGCCCGTTTTGACTTCTGTTCGTTTAGGGTTTTGGCCACCTTTATTTTCAGCTATTTATAGCCCGGCTTGTGGGCTTCTTTCGTTCAGACTTGAATTATTTCATATTATATCATAACCCTAGCGAGAAATTTTCTCCTAGCGAATATTTTCTTTCCCTTGTATTCGTTATTCTCTTCGTTCTGTCCCTACGCCTTGATTCAATTTGGCGTCAGTCTTGTTACCTCTTATTTTGTAGAACTTTTGATATAATTTTTAAATATAAAAATTTTATTTTTTTAATTTTATATCTATAATCAAATAAATTGAATTGAAAATAAAGTTGATCAAACCTCGCAAACAGACGCGAAAAAACGTTTTAGGACGAAAGAAATACTTTTTTGTTTGTCCCAACTTCCAAGATAAAAAGTTCATTCATTTCAAGTAAATATTAATGAGTTGTGATAGAGTAATCTCACATTTTTTACCACGTACTTGATCTCATGCTTTGCACATACGTCGTAGATAAAAATGTACATGTGTAATCATACAGTCAAACATGAGGTAAAAATTGTAGAATTATCTTGAATTTATTCTACTCCCTCCGTCCCCAATTTGATTACAAATTGCGGGTTACGGAGTAAAATTTTCTACTTTTTGAAATCATTTTATTTACAAATTGGTATATCAATAAGATATAAAAATTATCTATTAAAAAATTACGTTAAAAGTTCTACAAAATAAGAGGTGACAAGAATATTTTATTTTATCAAATAATTAATGAAATCGCGTAAACAAACAAAAGTTATCGAAAGGAGAGAGAGAAAAAATTGTAATCTATTTAGGGACGGATGAAATATATTATATTGATTGTTTCATGTTATTTCTTTCACCTTTCTACATAAATTTAAACCATAAATAAATTTTATTTTTACTCAAAATTTAACTTAAAACACATGAACTAAATTAAGAGTGGTTTTTATACAGTCGGATGTTTGAGGAAAAAATATTTTTAATTAAGGTTAAACTTTAGAATAAAACAAAGAGGCCTAAAATCATACTCCGTACGCTTCTTTTCTGATCGCTAATTTTTCTGGAATAAAACAAACGTCGCAACTTTCAAGAGATCAAAATTTCAGAGATGTCGGGTTTGTCACGTGCGTGGTTCCTTCACTCGATGGGGCTGGTTGGCTCTCTTCTGTGTGGGGTGGGGTGCCCCATAGGCCATAGGACTATCCTATCTGTCAAGTTCATCAGCCGCATGTGTCACGTTCCCATGCCCCTTTTTAAAACTAATTCCCAAAAGGATTGTCCCAAATCCCAAGGGCCACGGCCCCAATTGCCCACCATTTTTAAACAAGTATTCCCTCCTAGGCGGATAGACTCTTTGTTTTGGTATGAGAAATGTTGGTTTTCATCCTTCTTCAAAATATAGTTTGAAGTATCTTAAGTTATCAAAAAGTTAACCCCAAAAGTTAACCCCAAAAAGTATCTATCCCTCCGTCATACACATTTACCCAATTAACTTTTCATCTTTCTTCTTTTAAAAAGTTATTGTTGAATACTCTTTATTTTGTGATAAGACCATGTATTATGACGGGTTTGACGAAGGTTTGATGAAGTGTAAAGACATATGATGTGCAATGATAGAAACATGTGTGTTATGAGCTTGAATGAGAGGCGTGACAAAAAAGTGATGAGGTGAAAATGTAAATTATTTTGATTGGTTGAAATAAAAAAGAGAGTGTCAAGCCGAGATGGCCATCACGCAAAAAGGGACAACTGCCCTCTAATGAAATGCTTGCGTGGTGCAATATAGCGTGATGCAATAGGCGTGAAGGAGAGTGGCACCCTCCCTGATGCGTGATAACATATGGCCTAAGAATTTATGTGTCTCATCGTTTTTTAAAATATATTCTAGGGTACTTTAAATATTTAAAAACTTACTCTAGTGGAATTTTCTCTTTTTTCTTTCAATTATTATTATTATTATTATTATTATTATTATTATTATTATTATTATTATTATTACTACTACTACTACTCACTCCATCTGGAAATTTTTTCTTATTTCAATTTTTCAATTAAATTTTGTACACTTTTGATCTCGATTTGCAAAAAAAATCATTGTGTTATTATATAAACTTAATATGAATAAATTCTTTTTGAAACATCGTTTTGATATATTTATTTTTTTAATATATTTATGTATAAATATAGATATTAATAGTCAACATATTACATTGGAGATTATATAAAGTCAAATAAGAAAAACATTTCGCTAACTAAGAGCATGTTGTCTTCGCCTTATTCTTATTACATAATTTTATTGAAATCAGTTCAGTTCAGATCAAAACAGATTCAATCAAATCGGGATCGATGTATTCAACAACAAAACTGGCTCCTCTCTAGTCACGTATTCTCTCCTCTCTTCTTTTGTTTCCGCGATTAAAAATTGCATGGCATGCAATAACACATTAAAAAGTTGGAGAATGGCAAGTCTTAGATTGAAGAAGATTAATTAAATAACCAATCAACTTTTGTCTAATCGAGCAACCTCAAGCACTCCCTTGCCCTTTTATGCAATAAGTACTTTTAAAAACCAATATTTGCTTCTTATGATATGATGTATTATGAGTCTCACAATTATGATATCAAGTTTTTAAAACCTCTCTGGTGCCCAGTTGAACTTGGAAAGGAGAAGATCAGAGGTGGGTTAGGTGAGAGCGCGTGAGACTGGAGAGGAGTACTTGTTGCCCTTTTTGAACAACAGATGAAGACTTAACAGTAAGTACGAGATAACTACTAACAGAACATCATTGAAACTCACTATATATACAAACACTGAATATTACAGTCGTCACGAAAATTCAATTGTATAATTAACTTATTTTGCATGAAACTAAATCAGTCACCCCTAAAGAATCATTTGCATTAAATTTTAGAAAACGTATCCATTTTTATTTTGCCAAATAGAGAAAAATCAATAAAATTTATAATAAATTAAAAATTAAAACACCACCCAATGCATAAAAAAAGACCATATGTGGTGCAATATTTTTTCTTTTCCGTTACAAAAGTTTTTACTTTGACGATATTTTACCTTACAAAAGACAACCCTCGAGCTGTTGTTCTACGATTTTACCGAAGATCCGACGGAGATTCAGGGAAAGATGCTCAAGTGAGAAGCCCAAACAGGCACCGCTCCTTGTAGTACGTTGTGTATAACTTGTGGTACCTTGTACCGAGACCACCAACCTTAAAATCTTTTTCCTCCCTTCATTCACCTACCCAAATTCAATAATTTTCAACATTAGCACTCAGGCAAGCGTTGTTCCAATTCTATATTCTTTCTGCTTCTGGGTTGATCCGCAGAAGACAGAAAGAAGAAGAAGAAAAACAAGAAATTGATTCGAATTCTCTTTTAGGGGTTTTAAGCAGCAGTTTCTTTTTTTTTCCTAGTTCAAATTCATGGCTTTCTCGATCTCACAGTCTGGTTTGGTTTCTACAAAGAGGTTAAACTTGTGTCCGGCAGTGCCTAGGGTTCTCCCACTTCCCCAGTTCGCTAAAGCCAAGGTTGTAAACGGAGATGTGTCGATCAAGAGGCCTCTACGCGTCTCCTCTGTTGCAAAGTTTGGATCTTTGGAATCAAGAACCCTAAACCCTAAGTTCAAGATCAGTTGCAGAGCTCAGGAGGGCGACCAGGCAAGGCCTTTGGATCCCGAAATCGATCAAGTGCCAAAATCAGAGGCTGCCCAGAAGCTCAAAATCGGCATTTACTTTGCCACTTGGTGGGCTCTGAATGTGGTTTTCAATATCTACAACAAGAAAGTTCTCAACGCCTTTCCATATCCATGGCTGACATCAACTCTCTCTCTGGCGGTTGGCTCTTTGATTATGCTCCTCTCTTGGGCTACAAGAATTGCTGAAACCCCCAAAACTGATCTTGAGTTCTGGAAGAACCTGTTCCCGGTATGAAATTTTGGTCTTCTTTTTTAACAGCATTTCATTTATTTTGAGATTCAGTGTTATCTGGAATTTTCAGTTTTCTTGAAGTGATTGTTATGGATTCCATCTGATGTTTGTAATTGTTGTTTCGTTATCTGCTTAAATATAAGAGTGTAATACCTATAAACCAATCTATAAATAAGAATCATAAGATACTATGTGCCAAATTTTAAAACTTAACCAAACAAACTACTCGCAGCATATCCCATGTACCCTCGAGAGTAGTGATTAGGGAGGGTAAGATGTTTCTAGAACTTACGTCTACTCCAAACTTCCAAAGACTAGATAGGATGTTCGTGGTTCGTAGTGCGAGGAGTGCAAGTTGCAATTTTTAAAAAAGTACTTGTCGGTAACCTTCTCGAATTCATAACGCATTCAATGATATACCAATTTTACTCCTTTTTATTCGCAAATGGATACTTATAGAAAATACTCCTTCCGGCTTTCATCCCGAAACAAATTCATGGGATTGACTTCACGCTTTTAAGGAAAAATGTTGATGAGTGAGAAATATGGTTGGAATTTTTATTAGAAGAAAGAAATAACGTGAGTCACATGTTAATTTCCTAACACTATGTTTGGTTCAAGGAATTTGAAAGGGAAAAGAAAAGAAAATGAAGTGGAAAACCATTTTTCTTGTTTGGTTAGAGGGGAAAAAAAGGAAAAGTGGAAGGAAAAGAAAATGAGTAGGCAAAATGTACCAAGTGGAGGGAAACCCAAATTCCTTCCATTTTGGTGAGGAAAATGAGAGAAAACCATTTTCTTTTATTTTCCTTCCAAAATCCTTGAGCCAAACATAGTGTAAAGGTAGTGCTTGGGAACTAACATTTCATTTCAATTCTTGCATTTGAATTCCATAGTTTGAATTCCTGAATTTCAAATGACAATGGGAGACATATGGATTTGCATTTGAGCTTTGTGATGAATTAGAAGAATTTGCCTCAATTCCAAATCCAAATTTTAAAGATTTCCCAAACATGGATTTGAGCCAAATCCGGATTTGAATCCAAATTCCAGTTCCCAAGAAAAAAGAAAAGTGTGACATATATGTTGGGACCGACAAAAAAAGAAAGGGAAGTTTTTTTTAGGGACAGAGGGAATATTTGTTAGAGACAAACTATTATATGAATAGATCAATAGAATGTAACTGTCAAAATCAATAAATCAACGATCCTTATTCGAAATTGGCAATTATTTGAGATTAAAATAGTTTCTAAAGCTACAATTATTAACAGACACCCGACGGAGGGATTATTTGTTTATTTGATGATTATGTTTTTCCTTATTTATCAGGTTGCAGTGGCACATACAATTGGGCATGTAGCAGCAACGGTAAGCATGTCAAAGGTTGCAGTGTCATTCACACACATAATAAAGAGTGGTGAACCAGCATTTAGTGTGTTGGTGTCACGGTTTTTGCTCGGTGAGAGCTTCCCCGTTCCAGTTTACTTGTCCCTCATTCCAATCATTGGTGGTTGTGCACTTGCAGCAGTTACTGAGCTCAATTTCAACATGATTGGTAAGGGATCAGTGATTAATTAATAGTGATTTTTTTTCAAACAGAAATTATTGCGGGACCCATTCCTTGTATAGCGTAACGGAAAAGTTGAGATTTTGTTGCAGGATTTATGGGGGCGATGATATCAAACTTGGCGTTTGTGTTTAGGAATATATTCTCAAAGAGAGGAATGACTGGGAAGTCTGTGAGTGGGATGAACTACTACGCCTGCTTGTCTATGCTGTCTCTGGTGATTCTTACACCTTTTGCTATTGCCATGGAAGGCCCCCAAATGTGGGCTGCTGGCTGGCAAGAAGCTGTTTCTCAAATCGGTCCCAATTTTGTTTGGTACGCCCTTATTTTTATGTTGTATGTGAAGTGGTTCCCCCTCTCAGGAGACCCCCCTTAAGAAATCACCCAAAATAGAAGTAAAACAGGGTGTATATCCCAAAATATGAGCTCTATATTTTAATACCCAAAATATGAGTTTGCACTCTGACAATGTGGCACTGTGGCACTGCTTATTGGCATTCCACAGGGTTTTTTGGTCTTATACGTTGACATTATTGATACCGTAACTCCTATTTTGGGAATATTAACACAGATCTCCTATTTTGGTATGTTCTCTATGTTTTACTCCCTTGTTTAGTCTTTTTCCCAACTCCCTTCATCTTCTAGGAGGGCATATATAATAGGAAGGAGAAAGTGGTTCGTCCCCCTTAACTTTTTTGACAGGCTTGTGATTCTTTAATTTGATTTCAAAACTCAAAAGTAGCATTTTTATATCATTTGTTTCAATATTGTAAAATGCTCGTTAACTTGGCGTCAATCTTTTGAGATTGGGTTTTTTTTTAATTTAAATAATGACATTTGAATGAATGCGTAGGTGGGTGGCTGCACAGAGCATATTCTATCATCTGTACAACCAGGTGTCGTACATGTCGCTGGATCAGATATCTCCATTGACATTCAGCATAGGGAACACGATGAAGCGAATTTCGGTGATTGTTTCCTCCATCATCATCTTCAGGACACCTGTTCAACCGGTCAATGCTCTTGGAGCCGCGATTGCTGTCCTAGGAACCTTCATTTACTCCCAGGTAATTATCCCTTCTCTCTCATTCTTCTGTTTGCTTGACCTTTACCTTTCTTGCTCATTCAAGACTTGTTTGTTAAAGGGCATAGTTGTCTTGGAGCAGAAATGGTAGTTGGAAATTTGTGATGGGTATATTGGGAGTCCAAATGTGTGGGGTGAGTAAGGCCCAATGTACTCGGTCCACCTCATGTTTAATACGGGGTAGTATTTAGGCCCAAACCACCTGAACCCGCGCATTTGGTAAGAAGACTAAGGGCTTGTTCTCTCCGCCTGATCTGATTGAAATCAGATCTGATTTGATAAGATTTGATTGCAGTTATATTTAAAGTTATTTATGATCAAATGTCTGGTTCGATTTGATTTCAATAAGAATAAGTAAGAAGAATAAGTTGAAGAGAACAAGATCTTATTTCCCGTGAAATGGGTCAGACTGACCTAACATAATATGGAATTGAGACTGGGTTTAACATATACATCATTTTGGAACTAATCTTTTAAACTATGATTGATGATGATCAGGCTAAACAGTGAGTGTGATAAATGGCTGAAGGATCAATCTATCTATGAAGATGGTTGGGATCTGCACAGCTGAGGTTTCATAGTTTTTTGTTTTGTTTTTGTTTTTCATTCAAAATTACTTGCTGAACTTTTTGTGGATTCCTTGACTGGGAGTATACTGTCCATGTTTTTTCAATGTATGCAATGGTAGAATAAGAGAAGTGTGTAGTTAATACTTTTAAGATGCTAAAGTATGTTCCAATCATATTTTTTGTTGTTTGGTAGGAAGGAAAGTTTTTTCTTAAAAAGTTCGTTTCTTTTATTAAGGGTTCATAGGTGGGTGGCGTGTGGCAAGTGAACAAGGACGATGGGTAGGTGGAGGTGAGGGTCGGATGGTTGGCGGGGTGGGTGTGGGGGGGGGGTAGGGGTGGCGAGGAGTGAGGGTGGTAGTCATGCAGTGTATTTGAGGTCAAGGTAGGGGGTTACGAGTAGTAAGGGGCGGGGCGGGGTGGTAGGGGTTAGGGTGGAGTGGGGTGGAAGGAAAAGAGCCAAAGGGGTATGAGGTGGACATAGGTAATTGGTAAGTGTGGCTGTGTGGGGGTGAAGAGTGAATGAGAAATTGAAAATTAGAAAAACGGAATGAAATAGGAGTAACTGAGTAAAATATGAAAAAAAAAAATATCAAAATATGAATTTTATATTTTTATCCCAAAAATAGAAGTGAATGACATGTTAATATAAGAAATTAAGAATAATGAACTCTTATTTTGAAGGTAGTGCTACTTCCTCTCTCAAATTTAATTGCTTCTTTGATTTACAATATTTGATTAAAACTATTTTCAATCTAATTTATTAGAGAATCCAAGCATAACTAAAAATTGATTTTATATATTAAAAAATCACATCAAAAGTTCGACAAAACAAGAAATGATATGATTATATTGTTTTATCAATTTAGTCATGAAAATAAGTAAATTAGATGAACTAAGTTTGATCATGTGAATAGTAAATAAGTAACTTAATATGAGGCGGTAGAAGTATGTTTTACTTATATTTGAGATAATTTTTTATGAAAATTTTCTTTCAAATTTTAGTTGAAATTATTCTTCTCTTATTGAGAGGAAAAAAAATTATTTTTTCCGATCTTCTAATGATGGGGGTGGGCAAGAATCCTGATCCATTGCTCCAACATGAAATATCTAGTCCCGTCCTTATAGTATTCTGATTGGTTTGGGATTACAAAATTTTATCACAAACCTTCATATCTTTTTACAATGAGACGGGATTAAGACACGTAAATATTTTTAACGTTCCATTTCATACCTATTTATTTATTTATTTATAAATTTATATAACGATCTAACCCAAAAAGTATCACAATTTTATTTTTTCCAAGATAGATAAGAATGATTGTCGAGATTTAAATGGTCTAAAAAGATGGACTAGCTAGGACTGGAGCACATAAAACTTGGACGGTTCTGGCCCGTACCCACTCTAATTTATGAAGCTTATAGTTTTGATTTTTGACAAATATTGTAACATTTTTTCATGTTGTTTTATTATGTTTGGCTTTTCTAACAAATTTTTTATAGATACTTCTTTTATCATTACTTTGCAAGTCAAACTGTGTCGCCTTTTCCTTATACTCCCTCCGTCCCGCTATATTTGTCCACTTTTGACTTTTGAAACTGTTCATCTAAGCACTTTGACTCATCAAATTTTCTCAATGTATAAGCCTAAATATAGTCATGTCTGATCTTGTTTGATTTGCCTTAACATATAGATTATTAATATATAATTTCTATAATTTTTTAATATACAAATTACAAGATAAAATGGATTAAAGTAGTGTGTTGGATGGTGTGTAAAAATGAAAGTGGACAAATACTCTGGGACGGAGGTAGTATATTTATATTTTTATATCTAACTTCGAACAATGACAAAGCATGACAATTCGAATGTGTTCCGTTTTGTCCCAATCTCGAATATTAAGAAACAAAGATGGATAAACTTATGACATGAATCATTCTGAACAAAATAGAACAAGATGCGGGATGATATCAAACTCAAGCTGTCGTGAATTGTGCCCACCTCCAACTAATGGCATAAATACTTCAAAAATAAGGTAGTGTCTATGTGTCTATGTTTAGAGTATGTGCAATGGCAAGTAAAAGGAATGTCTTGCACTGCCACATTATCTTCTTCCACTCATATCATAGCATGGCAAGACCAAAATGCCTTGCTTGGTGAGGCATGAGTGTGACACTTTATCCTTCTTTTTTTATTTTTTTTAAAAATAATTTTTTTTAAAATTTTTTATGGAAAAAATGTACAAGAAAGTAGAATAATTTTTTAATAAAATAAATAATAAGAATATTTTTTTATGTTTAAAAAACATAAAAAATGTAAAAAAGTGATAAAAAAATAATGACTTGCCATTGGAGGACTTGCCACTCCATTCACTTGTCACACGCTGACTGGACTATTTTTTAGTGGTTAAAATGTTTCATGTCACCGTGTGGCATTCTATTTTTGCTTTTATTGTTAATGCTGTTAGAGACATACGTACTAGGTAGTACTCCGTATTTAATTACACCATCCTTCATATTTTCATAAATAGAATTCAAAGGACGGCAACATTCAAATGTTTAAAGTAGTACATTCAATTATATAGTTTATTTCCAACCCCATTTGCGAAAAGACACATTACAATGTTTAATACTCCGAATCAAACATTCGAACGTTACATTATGGGGCACAACACTTCATGCTTAAAGCCGCTCAGATGCAAGAGTAACCAAAAAGTTTTGCATATATTTGAATATCTTGACCGATACACTTGAATGTTTTACGTGAAGTTATCTTATCTCGTCAACAAAACATCCAATCAGTTTTTAAAAATTCAGCTCAAACCCAACAAACTACATACAAATATCACCACATAAATGTGTAATCCATACATCAGTTGGTATATAGTCTAATAAGCCCCTATCACACTCAGTATTTATTTAACCACTAATTACAGTAAGGGAGAAAGATAACAATTTTGTCAGTCTGGTAAAAGTCACCATTTTAACAATTTTGCCAACACGAGGCTAAAAACATAATTTTCCCTATTCCTTACTTTTTAAAAAGACATTTGTTAACATATCATGTTTTTTTCACCCCCCCCCCCCCAATTTCTTCTTGGAAATCAACGTATGTTCTCAGTTTCCTTTCACAAAATAAAAAACTGTAGACATGACAAAACAGATTATGAAACAAAAAATGCATTTTAAGGGGGGGAATATCATGTTTCCATGGAACTATGGATTCCACTCATGTCATCATGGGAACAAACAGCACTTTCCAGGGAAAAAACACTAACACTATGTTTGGCTCAAGGAATTTGAAAGGGAAAAGAAAAGAAAATGAAGTGGAAAACAATTTTTCTTGTTTGATTAGAAAGGAAAAGAAAGAAAAAGTTGAAGAAAAAGAAAATGAGAAGGAAAATGTAATAAGTGGAGGGAAATCTAGATTTCTCCCATTTTGATGAGGAAAATGAGAGAAAATCATTTTCTTTTCTTTTTCCTTCCAAATAAATTCCTTGAACCAAACATAGAGTAAACCACAAAACAGCATTTTACAAAAAAGGAGCATAATTGTGAGTTGTTCCATTTCATAGAAATTAAATAAATTAGCAAGAAAAATTTACGCATTTCACATTACAGCAATAAAACATATGGAGTACTTGAGAATACGGTCAATACAAACATATCGGCCATGATTTTCAAACTATTGTAGCATGGAGTAGATGTAATCACTTAACTCTCATTCTAAAAAGAACTACATTTGAGGTGATATAGTTCCTCTATGTTCAAATAGCTTTGAGAATGAACTCGAAATATGTTGCTTGGGAAATCAAGTCCAGGTAATAATACCCGAAGCAAAGTATAGAGAGACATTTGGCAAAATTTTCTAGGCACTAATGAATTTTAACCATCAGAACAGAAGGATGCAGTCAATTTCAATAGCTAAAATTGACACTACTAGATTATTCAAAAGCCGAGATAGAAGTTTACCATCCTTCCTTTCCCTACTTGGGCAGCCCTTCTTCGATCTCAGTCCACTTGTCAGCTTTCTTGGAGAATTTCTCCTTCATCTGAGAAACAATTGCCTTTGCCTCATCAACCTTCGAAATACTCACAAGCCCGTCCACGAGCATCTTCATAGTTGAGAAATTTGGAACCCATCCCTTTTCCATACAGTCCTTACAAATCGCAAGCGCGCCCTCAAAATCTTTACTTTTACATAAAAAGTAAACCAGCCTAAAGTAGGTTTCGCTATCCGGTTGGAATCCACGGTTAACCATCTTTTTATACAAATTCTTTGCCTCTTCCAAATCACCTTCCTTACAAAACCCATGGATCAAATGGGCATAAGAAAAGGAATTCAGCTTTATACCCGCGGAAAAAATCTTATCAAGCATAGCCTTTGCCTCCTTAGACCGCTTGAGCTTACACAAGCACTCAATCCTTATGTTATAAATAGAAATGCCGGATGAAACCCCATGTTGTTTCATCAAATCCATAATCTTTCCAACATCCTCAAACTTTTCCTCACTGTAAAAACCTCTGAGACAGTTCCCAAAAGTTGTGGCATTTGGCTTCACTTCATTACTAACCATCTTATCCAATATAGAGTAAACAGAGCTAGCAGAACCCGACTCGCAAAACCCCTTAATCATGACATTGTAGGTACCTAAGTCAGGAGCAATCCCATATTTTTTCGGAAAATCCACAAAAATCCTCTTCATTTCATCATAATTTTTAGCTAGAAGACACGAAAACAAAAGAGAGTTGAGTGATTTCACCGATCTTTGGATACCCATCTCCTCCATTTGCTCAAAGGTCAGCATGGCGTCATTGATCATGCCGGCCTGCCCATAGAGAACGACAACGTGGGAAATGAGCTTTTCGGATCTGAAATCGGGTCGGGACTTGGATTCCTCGAGGAATTCCCGGATCCCCCCGAAGTAATTCGAGTTCCGGAGCTTCAAGATGGCCTTGGAGTAGGCGAGTCGGTCGAGGTGAGACTCGGGGGTTAGCGAGGCGGCCCGGCAAATGTCGAGGATGCGCTCCGGGTTGGTCTCGGTTTGGAGCAGAGAGAGGGCGGCTCGAGATTTCTCCTTGCTTGAGAGCGCGGTTTTCGCATCTGGGTTCAAGATCGAAGTTGCGAAATGGCGGATACGATGAGGGAGACCGGGGGAGAGGAGACGGAGCTTGCTACGTATGATTGCTGCCATTGTTATTCTCCTGGATTTGGGTGGGAGGGGTTTTTAGGGTTTAGGGGCTGCGTCAGGCGCTGTAAGCTGGGTACCTCTCGGTTCTAGGTTTTGCTGCCGTCACTCGCCAATCAGATGTTACATGACTCATATGAGTAGCTTTTTTATTCATGGAAAATGCTTGGTTCACAAATAAAATGATCACAAACTTCACAAATTTATTATTTGTGAACTTCCATGAAAAAAATTAAATAGTTTAAAATGATTTAAAAATAAAATTTTAAATCATAAATAATAAGGTTGTGAAGTTTGTGAGTATTCTGTTTGTTAACCTAGCATTGCTCTTTATTCATTTACAAAAATGACAGGGGTACACCAAAAGTGTACCCCAAATATACACCACCTCTACGGTGAGAATGCGATCTTAGGAGAGAAATGAGAATGAATCTGTTACTTTAGATTATGAGATCTATGTGTCAGAATTGCATCAAAATTAAGTGCACTAAAATGGTTTGAAAGTGCATCATGTCAAAATGCACTAAAATCCTTTGAAAATGCATTATCTCAAATTTGAGCGCATGATGCAATCTGAGTCACACGATGCATCAGATCAAACAGCTAGATTGTGCACTCTCGCGAGAACCGGTCCCTATATATCTACATACATATATACATACATACACACACACAGATATATATATATATATATATATATATATATATATATATATATATATATATATATATATATATGAATGTACTACTTGGTTCGTTCCTGAATGTTTGTCCACTTTTGACTTTTGGAACTGTTCATCTAAGCACTTTGACTCATCAAATTCTCTCAATGTGTAAGCCTAAAAATAGTCATGTGTGGTCTTGTTTGATTCGTCTTAATATATAGATTATTAATATATAATTTTTATAATTTTTTAATATACAAATTACAAGATAAAATAGATTAAAGAAGTGCATTGGATGGTGTGTAAAAATGAAAGTGGACAAACACTCAGGGACAGAGGGAGTAGCGTTTTAACGATTCACACATGCACAAAACCGAAAACAAAATGAGTTCCGAAGCTCTGGTTCGATTTTCACTGTCGATGTCTTTGGGCGCAACCTCCCCATGGTTGTCCTTCGGGTTTAATGTAGGGCCGCTACCATGACCTCCTTTTTCCTGAGCTTGGGAGCTCGTGGATGTACTCCACCGGACGTGTGCCAACATACCCCTTTCACGGACTGAGTGTGGTATAATTTTGGAGTAGACATAGGCATTGTTTGGGAAGAACGTTTCTAATTAGCGTTAGTATTTTAGATAAAATTTTAATGGTGTATACTAATTTCGAAAATGCTCACGTTAAGAACTATCGTCATATAAGTTTTTCAAAATGCTAACACTAACCTATAAGGTGATGCCAAACGAAGCCATAGTTTAATTGGGACCCCATACCTTCTTTACAAAAGAGGTTAAATTACATTTCCTTTGTTGGATTACATGTGTATATGAGTACTACTACTCCGTAGTCCGTATTATATACACGGCCTCACTTCAAAATATCTAGAGCGGTCTATCTGTCATCAACAAGACAAACGTATAGTCGCATATCAATCTAGGGTTCCGCCGTGCGACGCAACCTCCTCCATTAATTCCCAACCCCTCAGCGACTCCAGTGCGAATCAGACCGCGATGCAGCATTCATTCTCAGGGGTCCCGCCGTCAATGGCCCCGCAACAGCAGTACCAGCAGTATCATCAACAGCAGTATCTTCAACCGCCGCACCAGTGGATGGGACAGCAACCACCACCGCAGCAGCCGCCCTACCAGGCCCCTCCGCCGCAGCAGCAGCAACAACAATCGCCTTATTATTACCAGCAGCCGCAGTCGCAGGGCATCGTTCCTCCACCGTCTCTGCAGAATCAACAGCCACCGCAGTACAACGACTCTGCCGCTGCTCAACCGGCCAGCTCGGATGAGATCCGCAGCCTCTGGGTTGGAGATCTGCAGGGCTGGATGGATGAGGATTACCTCACCAGATGCTTTTACGCTACTGGGGAGGTATGCGATCTACACACAACTGCGCGGTTCCTCTCTTTTTGATTGGTCATTTACTAGTTTTTTTTTGTTGTTATTCCCACAAACAGATTAGGTTTGAGTGTATATGTAATTAGGAAATATTATGATTTTAGGATTTGTCTATAGCGCATGCTCGAGACTGTTGACGAATGAAGCTTATAATACATGTTTATTGGCTGGAAACTGAAAATCATTCTAAACCTTTTGGTGGGATAAGTTGTTAGTTCATTGGCTAATTGCAGGTTACCTCTGTTAAAGTTATCCGTAACAAGCTAACTTCACGAAACGAGGGGTATGGCTTTATTGAATTTACCAGTCAAGCAGCTGCTGAAAAGAATCTTCATGCTTATAATGGCACCCCAATGCCCAATGCTCAGCAGAACTTCAAACTTAACTGGGCTTCTCCAGGTTCAGGAGAAAAGCGTTTTGATAATTCTCCCGAGCACACTATTTTTGTTGGAGATTTGGCTGCTGATGTCACAGATTACGTGCTTCAAGAGACATTCAAAGTCAACTACCCTTCAGTGAAGAGTGCAAAGGTTGTTACAGATAGGGCCACTGGATGCACCAAAGGCTATGGGTTTGTGAAATTTGGCGATCAAAGTGAGCAGCAACGTGCTATGATTGAGATGAATGGAATGTATTGCTCAAGCAGACCAATGCGGATTGGGGTAGCTGCTAATAAAAAGAATCTGGGCACCCAGCCACAAGGTAGCACTCAGTCACTAAGTATGCTACAACCTTATACCATGACTTTTTTAGATTTGTTTTTAATTCCATATGATGAATTTTCTAATGAATATGACAGCCAGAGAACTATGTTGTTCCACCTAATGTCAATTGAGCTGTGTTTGTTCTATCAGACTTTGACTTCATTTTCCCACACATGTTTTCTGTTAAATAAGTTTTATTTGTCCATATACTGGATAGGTCCATCTTCTTGTCCTATTTCTGCTCCATCAGTATCATCCGGAGAAGAATGAAAGTAGTTGACCGGCCAGGCGTGAAACTAGTTGAGTCTGGGGGATGCTCACCTCTTTGATCAACCTTGTCTAAATAAGTGATTCTCTCATTGTGTAACTAAGCAATTCGATGCCTCTTATAGTTATCACAACTCTGTATATCACCTTTGCCCAATTACCCTTATACAATGGGATGGCCATGCTCTTAGTCATCTTAGCCATTTTGAGAAAAACTTTAAAGTTGGTGACCCACTTCAACCCATCTCTGCCCACAAATTTCTAAAACTATACCGGAATCTTATCTGCTCCCAAGGCTCTTCCTCTTATCTTCAAAATTTTCCAAGACAAATCACTCCAAAAAATCTTCCATGCCTTTTTGGGTCTCCTCCATACTCTTTTGCACAATCCATATATCCACTCATCATATCTTATAACCAATGCATTTTGTGGTCTTCTTTGTATGTGTCCAAACCACCGTAGTCTGGCTCTCTCGCAATTTATCTTCAATGGATTTATGGATCCCACTTTCACCTAATGGAGGATCTCATTTCTTATGTTGTCCATTCTAGTGTGCCCATTCATCCATCTTAACATGCACATTTCAGCTGGTCCCCTGCTGCAAAGGAGGAGGGTTGTGGTAGGCATGCCATGTCAATAGCCAGCATGAAAACCTCATCACATCTTATGACAAAAATGGTGTCGAACTCAAGTTAATGAATGGTGAAAAAAAGTTATTTCTCCCATATTCTGTATATATGTGATTGATTTTTCCTTCATTTTTCCAATATTATGAATGCTACTCACACTTTTTCCGTGACTATTGAACCTTGAATTTGTCTTGAGTTTGTTTTTTTTTTAATTTAATAAAAAAGAACCAAAAAATATCCAAATGCATAGAATCCACTACTATCAGTATGTTAGTCTGATTGTTTATCAGTTCTTTCCTTTTCTGCCTTTCATTTGCAGGTACTTGTCAAAATGGCCAAGAGACTCAAAGTGATGATGACTTGACTAACACAACTGTCAGTATATCTAGTCATGGTAAAAGACTCAAAAGGCATGCTAACAGATGCTAACAAAAGAAATCTGCTTTTGTTGCAGTTATTTGTCGGGAATTTGGACACCAATGTTACAGATGATGCTCTTAGGCAGGTATTTTCAAACTACGGGCAGGTGCTTAACGTGAAAATACCGGCAGGCAAGCGTTGTGGTTTTGTTCAATTTGCTGACAGGTGCTGCAACAATCTTTGTTCAATGGTTGTTACGTCGTCAAGTAGTCGTTGAGTAAAGGGTTGGGTCGCGGGGAAGGGACGACCGGCGGTGGCGACTAGCATTGTAGCAAAAAACGGATCACTCCTACAGATCTGAGATTCAAAACCCCTAATCTATGGCCGCCCAATTTCAGATGCGAAAATCCCAGCCTAACGTCACCATCACGATGGAGATTCGTTGCCTCTGCTGCCAAAGGGAAGTAGATCTTCTGCCACAGTTTGTCGCCGCCGGTGTCCTGTTTAGTAAGCATTAGTCGTTCGCAGTTTTGATTAGTTCCTTTCAACTTCCCATGTATATTTTCTTTTCTTTATCTCTTTTGTTTTACCCGATTGGGGTGGGGTTGAGCGGTGGAGGTGAGGCATAGGCCAAGGATGGGTCTGTTTGGATTTATTTTTGTTTTTATTACTCTAAATAACGGGATTTGTTTTACCTATTTTTGTTTTCTTTTATTCTATTATTTTCCAACAAAATTTTGTTTTAATACCCATTAATATTTATTATGGAGTATAATATTTCTGCAACTAAACTTTGTGTTAGGAAAGGGCTTTACACTAATTGACTAATCGACTACTAATTGACTAGTCCATTCGCGGGGTGACTTGACTGGACTTGTCGACGTAACAACAATGGTCTCGTTTATAAATTTGTGAAGATCTAAATTTGGCAATGGTTAAATTTTGTGTGAACCACAGGAATAGCGCCGAGGAAGCCCTGCAGAACTTAAATGGAACCCAGTTGGGAGGACAGAGCATTCGTCTTTCATGGGGCCGTAGTCCTTCAAGCAGACAGGTTATTTTATAGTTTGTACTGTAATAAAACATGATTTATCCCAGAATACATGTATCTAGAACATCTGGTTTTGATATTAGCCTGAGAAATATATGGTCTTCTTTTTTTGTGTTCACCAGCCGCAGGCTGAACAGAACCAATGGAACAGTGGATACTCTGGATACACTCCTGGATATGAATCCTATGGGTACCCCCATGGTGGTGGTGCTGCTACCCAGGATTCAAATATGTACTATGGAGGAGGGTATGGTAATTATCCACCACCCCCACAGCACCAGCAGCAGCCTCAGGTATTACTGAATGATTACCTTACTGTGTTTTCAGAATTTTTTTGATGCATGTGTACTTTTCTTTAATCTAAAACTTGTGGTACCCTAATCCCATCACCAAGACCCACTTTAAACACGCGTCTGATAGGCTTGTGCCTTTTGGGGCGGGGGCATGTACAATATTTATACCTTAAAATGAAGTGGGTAGGATTGTAATTCAGAAAATCATTATTGTTTTTTTCTTATGTTTAAAAATTACCCATCCTACAGTGCTGTAAATGGAGTTGTGGACAAAGTCTGCCATAAGGTGTTTGGTTCATGGAACCTGAGATTACCTTCTAGAAGGCTATGCGAGATTACACAAATAGACTCCTATTTCAAACTGTACAAAATGTAATGCTCATAGAAGTACTTGTGCCGTAAAAATGTTAGTACTCATTTTTTCCCACAATAAGGTTTTCGTTCACTATTCACAAGGTCAAACTATATCTTTCTGTCTTTACACATTTTGCAAAACTTTTGATGTAATTTTATCTTTTAATTCTACACCAATATCAAATATGTTGAATTGAAAATAACTTTATTCAAGTAAAACTGAAACGGAAACCTTACTAGGGATGAAGGGAGTACAAAATATTGTACTTATGTCAAATGCTGAAGAAGCCCAATATTACTTCATACTCCCAGCATTACATTATATTCCTTCTTGAAGGTAAATACGTAAAACAGACTACTAGAGGGTCATTTGAAAACCTGAAATTACTTGTCCCATTTCGTATGTAATTTGAGATTCTTTAAACCAAATGCTCCATGAAACCAGAGATAGTAGCCATTTAAGTAGAGATTGCACTTCAACTCATTGTCTTTGCATGTCTGGGCAACACATGATGTCAAGCTTTGGTGTCAAAATTGGTGTGACCATAGAGTTATCCATTGCTCCATATATCTTTTTAGTTGCTTTTTTAACAGAGTCAATTGTTGTCATGCAGGGATACACTGGGTGAGGCCACTGGTTTTTTCCCCTTCTGAGTTAGAGAATGTAATATAATAGCTAAGGCCACTACTTTCCTCCTTTTGGGCTTAGTGGTGCATGTCTCTGAGTGATTTTTTGTTGTGTGGACTGATGTGCCCTTTCAGTAGCTTTTTAAAATGCATTCCTGCCTCCCACCATTATCTTCTACTATCTTGGATTTACTTTTTTAATGATTTTTTTTTTCATACAAGAAAAACAGGCATGTTATTGAAGGGAAGCCTTCATTCTCTTTTGGATGACCAACATCTTGTCTAGTTGTGTTTTGTCATCTCCCCAAATGTTTGGTTGGTTTCTATAAATGTTGAATCTTGGTTATGAAAAACCTACCACTAGTGATGGTGTTGCTGACCTTTGGTACTGTTGGGTGTCGACGAACACTACCATTGACCATAGTTGTCACTACTAGGTGGCGAAAATCGCCTTGGTTGAGGACCACCTTTATTGTTTGCAACCTCTGCCAATCACAGTTGTCCGCTGCCTCAGTCTTCCAGTCTTTTGATGGTCAAATCCAACCACTTATCCCCTATAATTGTTGAGAATTGGTGCTGACTATTGCAACCAACTGTTGTTGAGCATCATATGTGTGGTTTATGGATTGCATATGATAGAGATGACCTGTTTGGCGATGTTAGAGTTTAGAGTTTGCATTTTGAAGAAGTAACCCAACATTAATACTCCCTCCGTCCATAATTAAAGTTTTCACTTTCCTTTTTTGAATGTCCACAATTAAAGTTCCCATTTCCTTTTTTGTTAACTTTTTTATTATCAAAAAGACTTAAATACCCTCCATTTTTCTTCTTTCTTTCCTTTTATTCTCTCCTTTTTTTCTTTCTTTTTTTCCTTCTCTTCGGTTCTTCTTCTTTCCTTCTCTCTCTCTTTTCTTGTTCTTCTTTCCGTTCTTCTTCTTCTTTCCTTTCCTTTTTCGTTTCTTTTCTTTTTTCTTCTTCTTCAGATTTTTCCTTCTTCTCCCATTTCGATTTTTCCTTCTTCTTCCCCCATTTCGATTTTTCCTTCTTCTTCTTCTTCTTCTTTTCCTTCTTCCTCTTCTTCCCCCCTTCCGATTTGGTGTTTCTATTCTTCTTCTTCTACTTCTTGCGTCTGGAAACACCGGATTCAGATTTGTGAATCGACAAAGGATTCTTCAGATCTTGTTCATCTTCATCATCTCCTTTAGAACTCTTCGATTCTTACACTTTGGTGCGGGAATAGAATGTTTGATTTGGATTGCTGGAATTTCTCACTGGCTGGAAATTCACAGGTCGTCGGAATTTCTCCCCTGGCGATGGGATCGGCTGCAAGAACTTGGGCCAGGAACGGTGGGTGCATGGGTTAGGTTGAGGGGTATTTTGGAAAAGTCAATGTAAATTTTATATTTTATTAAACTCCGTGCCCGGTCAAAGCGGAACTTTAAATGTGGACGGAGGGAGTATTTATTTTTTTATTTATGAAGCTATTTTATATCATTAAATTTTTATTCAAAATGCTAACCAAAAGTGATGATCAATTAAGGCCAAACTATTGGGAATATATCTTTGAAAACTTGTTTTTAAAGTATATAAAATGAGCAAATCCCAATGAAAAGCTAGAAAAAATAAATTTGAAAAAAGGGAAAAATTAGAAAACAAAAAAACATTGAAAATAAAACAAACATATGAGTGTTTCTTTGGTGGATTTAAAGTCTCCATCACTTTTTGTGAACTTCAGTTATTCACATCAAAAGTTTTTTTCTACAAAAAGTATGTTGATCACGGTAGTAAGAAACTAAGAGTGTTTGGTGAGGAAAAAATTATGCATTTTGATATCTCCAAACGCAATTTTTTTAGGTGTTGGCTAAAGCCAAAAAATATCAAATTCGAAATCTTTAGATATCATAAATCTTTAGAGTTTTGATATCTCAATTTGAGAGATATCATTGTGATGATGTGATATCTTTCTCAACCATCGATCATTTTCCGTTTACGGCTACTATTGTTATCGCCAACAATCCGTGTTGTTGGTTACCCCCGCTTATTAATAGTTAAATCATGATTTTGGATATGTTCAAACATATTCGTTTTAAATTTCAAAATCATCATTTTTTTAGATTTCATAATTCATAACTTATCATTTCTCCAAAACTACCAAATGGGCTCTTAGAATTTAATTTAGTTGCCACTTTCATTCGATACATGGATAAAAAGTTGTATGAAGTCCATCACTATATTTACTGAGAAAAGCAAGCCCTAAGGCTCTGTTCCGTACGTCTGATCGGATTGAATCTGATCTGAATTTTTGAAGTTCTGATCTGATTGGGTCTGATCTGATCTGATTGGATCTGATCTGATCTGATTAGGTCTCATCTGATCTGATTGAATTTGATCTGATCTGATTGGGTCTGATGTGATCTTATTGGGTCTAATCTGATTTGATTGAATCTGATCTGATTAGATCTGATTTTCTCTAATTAGATCTGGTGTAAATGAATTTAAATTTGATTTAAATTAAACTTAAAATTATTACAAAGTTTACTACTTTAAAAGTATTACAATTCATATATACCAAAAAAAAGTAAAATAAGAAAATCAAATAATCATTAATATGTTTAAACTTTTTAAAAAAATATTAAACATCTTTTTAATAGGTGTGTGTAGTTTTAAATAAAGTAATGTGATTTAATCAAATAATAGTAATTATTATTTAATCCTTGAATAATATAAATATTATCTTTTATCTTTTTTCTTAATTTGATATTATTGGATTTGATCTGGTCTGATCTGATATGATTGGATCTGATCTGATCTGATTGGATCTGATCTGATCTGATTGGATCTGATCTGATCTAATTGGATCTGATCTGATCTGATTGAGTCTGATCTGATCTGATTGAGTCTGATGTGATCTGATTGGATCTGATCTGATTAGGTCTGATTTTAATAAGAATAAGTAATAAGTAGAAAAAATAAGTCCTACGGAACGGACCCTAAGAAATGTATGAACCCTACGGAACGAACCCTTTCTATTGCACACCTAAATTAATTTTGACTTTGGAGATTAGCATTTGTATTTTAATATTAATTTATACCATTAAAATTTTATCCAAAATGTTAATGCTAATGAAAAAACTATTCCTTAGCAAGGTGGAATCTGGTTAAACTTTGATCCACTAACTTCACTGGTTTAATGTATGACATTTGAAACAATGATAAAATTAGAATGATTTAGAATAAATTCAATAATTTGCCGTATAATACAAGGGTTTTCATATTTAGTCATCTGCTATTAAATATTACATATGTGATCTTTCTTTTATCGATACTTCTTCATGGATAATCTTTTTTGTGACATTCTGTCATATGAATGTCAAATTGAGGATTAAAAATATAATTTCATAATGATTATATATCTTTCTTGTCATATTCAATGCTAGATTTCACTGTTCATACATCATTTCTAAGTTGGTGTCAAATTACAAATGGTCTATGAAAAATACCATGTTATAAAAGGATAATTTTAGATTTCTGTGAATTTTTCTCCTGACTTGAGTGGTAGCTAGCGCACTCTCCAGAATTCATGAGAAAGTTCATTAAGGCTTAAGCCCCAGCAGAAGCATAAATATTGATTCTATGTGTGTCATTATTTTGAAAATAATATAAATAGAAATTACTTTGTAATAGAATCATTAACATTTAAAAAAAGAAAAAAAGAAATTAGGAGTAGATTTTTGTGGAAGGACTCTTTCATCTATTTTCTTCAATAAAGAGAACAAACTAAGGAAAATGACGAACTCCCAAGCAAACAAACCCTTATTGAGTGTACATACAACAGATCTTTAAAAACTTTCCGCCTTGAGCTCTTTCAGGCCGCAAGCAATAACGGAGAGTTCTGCCTCCTTCCACAATCAATCCTTCCTCCATTGCTAGGGTTTCACCTTTCTCCAACGCAGGTATCTTCTGTCTATGTATCTACTTGCATTCCGCTTCAGAAATCATCTTCGCTTAATATATCTGTGTGCGATACATGTCTTACGCATTCTAGTTGTTGCTGTTTTTATACTGCGCCTCTACCTGCAGTACATCGTTAATTGTTTTATCAATATGCAAATTACATGATTCGAGTGTTTGCTTTTGTGCTTTCTAGGTTGTTTCTGCCGATCATTCTTCATCATAGGTTAATTTCACAATGAAATGTCGTGGCCTTGTTGCGATTCTATGATCCACATCCACCCCGTTGTGCGCAACTCTAATCTGATTTTGGAAGGAAGTGAGGAGGACTTGGTATCTGCTTGATCATCGGTCCGTATTGGATATATAGTTTGTTGGCTGTGATCAGAAGTGAATTTTAAGAGGCTGGAAATGAGTGTTGTTGGGTTTGATGTTGGGAATGAGAATTGCGTCATAGCAGTCGTCAGGCAACGTGGAATTGACGTGTTATTAAATGACGAGTCAAAACGTGAAACCCCTTCTGTGGTGTCGTTTGGTGAGAAGCAGAGGTTTTTGGGCTCTGCGGGGGCTGCTTCCGCCACAATGAATCCTAAATCAACAATTTCTCAGTTTAAGAGGTTGATAGGCAAGAAATATATGGAGCCCTCAGTACAAAATGATCTGAAATTGTTTCCCTTCGAGACCTCAGAAGGAGCTGATGGTGGCATCTTGATTCATCTGCAGTACATCAATGAGAAACAAACTTTTACCCCTATTCAAATTCTTGCGATGCTATTTGCACACTTAAAACAAATAGCCGAGAAGAATATAGACACACAGGCTTCTGATTGTGTTATTGGGGTGCCTTCGTACTTCACGGACTTGCAGAGGCGATGCTATTTGCAAGCTGCAGAGATTGGTGGTCTAAAACCACTGCGGTTGATACATGATTGTACTGCTACAGCACTAGGCTATGGAATTTACAAAACAGACCTTTTACCCGGCAGTCCCACAAATGTTGTGTTTGTTGATATTGGTCATTGTGATACTCAAGTTTCTGTGGCATCGTTTGAGCATGGACATATGAAGATGCTATCTCATGCTTTCGACGTTGAGTTAGGTGGAAGAGATTTCGATGAGCTTCTGTTCAGACATTTTGCTAGAAGCTTCAAGGAACAATATAATATTGATGTCTACTCAAATGCTCGTGCTTCTGTTAGGCTCAGGTCAGCATGCGAGAGATTGAAGAAAGTATTGAGTGCAAATGCAGAAGCACCACTGAATATTGAGTGTTTGATGGATGAAAAAGATGTTAAGGGTTATATTCGGAGAGAGGAATTTGAGAAGCTATCATCACTTTTGTTGGAAAGGATCTCTGTTCCTTGTAGACATGCTTTAAGGGAATCTGGCTTGCATTTGGATAACATTCACAATATCGAACTTGTGGGATCTGGGTCTCGTATACCTGCCATTACTAAAGTTTTAAGTCAGCTCTTCGGGAAAGAACCTACTCGCACTTTGAACGCTAGTGAGTGTGTTGCACGGGGGTGTGCTCTTCAGGCCGCAATGCTTAGCCCGGCATTTCGCGTTAGGGAGTATGAGGTTTGTCTCTTGACATGGACTACTCTATTCTTCCTTAGTTCTTTCTCTTGGTTGTATATTAGTTACTTAGGACTAGTTTGGATGAAGGTGTTTTGGAGTCTTTGAGACGGGGTTCTTTTGGATACAACCTTTCTACCTTATAGGTAGGGTAAGTTTTGCATACACCCACTTGTGGGAATCCACGGGGTTGGTTGTTGAGTTTTATAAAAATTGAAAGATTAACACAACATTTCATGAACTAACTTTTATTTATCGGTTCACATTCAGTTCTGTTTATCATTGTATATAGACTAAGCGCTTCTCCTCTCCAAACTCCTTCAAAAACCTCCATCCAATAGACTCTTACAGATTACTGACTTGTATGGACACTCACACACCCACACCCACACACACACTCTCTCTCTCTCTCTCTCTCTCTATATATATATATATATATATATATATTCTCCCGATATTCATTACAGTGATAAGAAAACAACCTAACCAACTCTCATTACTTCAAAAACTGCTAGAACTGTTTCGACCAAAATATACGGAGTATATGATTAAATGAATCATCTAATTATGATAGGGTATGTTTCTGCAATGGGAGTAATAGAGCTTTTACTTCTCTACTGGGGGTTAAAAAAGCATAAAGAGATTTTACTCTACACAAATGTGGAAAAAATTAATGATTGATGCTAGCCAAATACTTAAAGGAGGTTCTTGATTCCCAAAAACTGAATATATCTAATTTATACATTTTTCTTCCTTGTGAAAGAGTAGAAATCATTTCTGATTAGAGAACTATTCGCTGGAGAGCTCTTGCCAACTAAATGCTTCTTTTTGACCAGCCTCTTAATTGTTGGTTTCCTAGAGTTATTTGAGGACATTTGAGAATGGAACTTTCATAAATTTTGTTAGGTTTTACAAGCATTTATTTGAATCTTTGGATGAACCCTCATTGTAGGTGCAGGATTCATATCCTTTTTCCATAGGGTTTGCATCAGACGGAGTTCCAATTTGCTCACCATCAAATGGTACACTGTTTCCTAAAGGCCACCTTTTTCCAAGTATGAAGATACTTACGCTGCACCGGAGCAAATCATTCCACATGGAAGCCTTTTACACGCACCAAATTGAGCTGCCCTCTGGTGTATCTACTAAAATATGCTCTTTTACGGTAGTAACCTCTCTTATTTAGTACTATTTTCCACAGTCAACTTGTATGGGAGTTAAATGTTGAAAGTAGGATTTAAGATCTTGTTGATGCTGCTGCTTTTATCAATTTGGACATAGTGCTGAAAAGAACTTCATTGTTTGACTTTACGGAGCTCAATAAAGTAGTTGAAAAGTAAAAAGTGTGTGGTTGAAATTTGTTTAAAAGAGAGAAACTTTGTAAGCGAAATTTTCCTTCTTTTCAAGGAAAAAGTAAAAGTGTGAAGTTTATTTGGGACATCCGGAAAAGGAAAGTGTGAAGTTTTCTTTGGGATGGATGGAGTAGGTTTGTTTTTTTCATTCTCATGTAGCAGCATAAATGCAGAATTAAAGTTTCTGTGGTGATCCTGTACATAATCATCTTATGACACATTGCTTCCAAGTTTTTTTTGAACTGATGTCTTGAGCCTTATTCAATGCATCACCAAACATGTGAAATTATTTTGGTGGGTTTTGTTGAAAAACGTACAGTGATCAGGGAATAAAATTATAATTTCGGAACTATGATTTGAGTTTTTAATTTACTAAGTAATGCTTATCCAGTGATTTTCTTTTAGATCGGCCCTTTCCAAGTTTCCTCTTCAGAAAAAACAAGGGTTAAAGTCAGAGTTCAGCTCAATGTACATGGGCTTGTTGAAATTGATTCGGTGTCAGTAAGTATTGATTTAAAGTCCACTTGTCAAGTACGGAGTATAATTGCCTTGGAGATTTGATATTTCTTGATTGTCTTTGTTTCATTCATTCAGCTTGTAGAGGATCAAGTAGCTGATTTTTCCACAGAAGACACATTTTCAGATAACAATGAGGTAAGCAATCTTGTTTCTTCTGGATTCTGGGATTTCTGGCAAGTGATCCTATTCTGTAGTCTAACAGTTTCGGAATGAGTTGTAGAGCCTGCTCTTAATCTCTAAGATTTATAAAAATGCAGCTTGTTTCATGTTACTTCCCGCTTGAGCTAATCTTTATCTTTTGCTTCTTTGGGCAATTCCTACACTTGCAAATAAAACTGTTTTTTTCCTATTGCATTTAAGTCTTAAAAGAGTTCCTCAAGGAAATGTAGCCTTTTTTATTATTCTATTATCCAAGTGCAAAAAGTGTCAACCATAGTTTGTTAGGCGGCGCCTAGTGCTGTCCCTTGGGCGCCTAGTCTGCTCGCCTCGCCCAGATAACCTTAAGGCGTTCAGGCGCTCGCCTAGGCGTCGCCTTACTCTCGCCTTTACGCCTGGGCCCTTTAAAATTATGAAAAGCCCAGTTTTTTCTGCCCAATGATTTTGAAAGCCTAATTTAAAATGTTTAAAAAGATTTGACTTAAACTTGTGACCTACGATATATAATATATATATGTATGTATGTATATCTATATATGTATGTGTGTGTGTGTGTGTGTATATATATATATATGTATGTATATATAGGACGCCTAGGTGTCGCCTAGGCATAATGAAGGTACTTTGGCACCTCGCCTTGGCGCCTTACAAACTATGGTGTCAACTTATATAACATGCATTGGGATGAAAGAAGTCAATGATAACTAATCAGGCTGTTCATAACCGAGACTCATTGCTGAATTACACTAGCAGTCAAATAACTCTGTCTGTATACATGTCTAATGTCATCTGCTCGTCACATTGTCTGTTTGCTCAGCCCTCCAAGTTCCAGCTTTATTTGAGCCCCCACCCCAAAGGAAACATATTTTTCATGGAAGTACGGAGTATCTTTGAGAAAGTGTTTAGAATTATTGTCTTCCAAATTACCTGGAAATACTTTGAGGGTCCGTTTGGTACACGGAATTGATGGAATTGGAATTGAATTGGAATTAAAATTCCATGAGATTCGATTTTAATTCCAATTCATTTTTTGCACTACCAATTCCAAATCTGCATAATTTTTGTGCTACCAAACATGAGAATTGGAATTGAAATCCTCAATTCCAATTCCATAGTTTGAATACCGTGTACCAAACGGGGCCTGAATTAATTTCCTGTTTTGTTTCACTTGAAAAGATCTTATCATTTCATGTTGAATTTGCTTAGTCAAAATCTCTTTTTCTGGTGCAAGTGGTAAACATCATTATATTATCATCGTAATCATCATCATCATGGACCATGTAGATACATTTTTGCAGGGTGATAAAACTAAAAAGGGTAAGTCTATCAAGAGGTTGGAAATACCTTTTACTGAACATGTGGATGGTGCAATAACACAAGCAGAGCTGTGCAGAGCGTGTGATATAGAACATCAATTGGCAGAGCATGACAAGAAGGTGGAGCGGACTAAAGATAAGAAAAACACTCTGGAAGCCTATGTCTATGAGACTCGTAATAAGGTTGAGATTCAATCTTTTTGCCTCCCATTATTCATGGATATTCTATTTGTACCATAACTGAATGTTAGACTTCTCATGACAATTGACAAGTTCATAGTCTTGGTGAGATTCCTAGACCATGTCAACATATTCTATGTCCACAAAACACTCTTTAGGCCATGTTTTGTGGTGGGGTTCTGGAAAGAATTGGGAAGGGGATGATTGATTTTCATTTTATTGATGTATTCTTATGTTATATGGTTGGAAAGAAAGTGAAGATGAAAAATTATATAGAAATTCATGATGTAGTCATTTAACCAAGATATATTCCTTGGAACCTTTTTTGTCCAAAAAAGAGCCAGGTTTTAAAAACATTCATTTTACTAAAATTTCTGTAAGCGGCAATCAATTTTAGTCAATTACTTCTAAACGATCTTGTAAATGAGTTTTAGGGGTATGCGTGGTGCAGGTATAAGTGACCACGCTTAACCTGTAATAGCTTGTACCTTGTTGAGTAAAGTCAGTAAACTAAATATAGGACTTACAAATAGTTGAAATAAAGATAATTTAGTAAAACAAAAACTAATCTTCTTCCATACAAAACCCCAACCAAATAAGTCATCCGGCTTTGCTACAAATAAACCTTTGTTCTATACAATAACTTTTATCAATGTTTGACATGATGTTCATTTGCATATAGCTTCTGAACACATATCGGAGCTTTGCGACTGATTCAGAAAGAGAGGATATCTGTAGTAATCTGCAGCAGACTGAAGACTGGCTCTATGAAGATGGAGATGATGAGTCTGAACAAATATATTCCCAAAAGCTAGAGGGTCTTAAAAAGGTCATTATCAGCTGTTAACTTTATACTTCATATATTTTATTTCTACTTTTCCCATAAAGGGTATGTTTGAATAATGGAAAACGCCAAGGAAATTTATTTGTGTTTCAGTGTTTGGTTCTACCTTAGGAGATGCAAAGGAAAGCAAAATATGATTGTTTTTTTAATTTTCTACATATATTTATATTAGCCTTTACATTAAATAGGAATCAATAGATTGAATAAAAAAAGATAAAAAATGTATTCATTGAGTTTTAATACACGAGTATATCTTTTTTCTTCCTCCCCCACATTTTCTTTCCCTTAAAATTTTCTAGGTTTTCCTTCCTACATTTTTTCCGTGGTATTTTCAGGATTCGAAACAGACACTACCTTGATTTTCTTAACGTCTGTTGTCTATCAGATTATAGACCCAGTTGAACAAAGATATATGGACGAAGATGCACGTGCACAAGAAACACGAAATCTACTACATTGCATAGTCGAATATCGAATAGCTGCAGAATCTCTTCCAGCTAGCGAGAAAGATTATGTACGTGGTGACTTTAAAAAAAAAGATAAATAACATGCAGAAAATATGATTTTTATGTCTCATAATAGTTTCATGAATATTTCCTTTCCAGGTCATCAGTGAGTGCGATCAAGCAGAGCAGTGGCTTAGAGAAAAGTCCCAACAACAGGATGCATTGCCTAAAAATGCCAATCCAGTACTGTGGTCAAGTGATATCAAGAGAAAAGCTGATATTCTTGACGCGTATGTTTATCATCTTACATTATCCCTCCCCCCATTCGTATTCCGTTCCAAACTTCCCATTTATTTGCACTTTATTTAGTCTTGCCAAATTTGCCCTTTGCTATGAACTCACCATGACACTGCATTTATTGCAGCACTGTATGTTTCGTTAAGGGGAATTTGATTTTGAAAGGTAAATTTGGGAAAGAAGAAATTAATGCGCCTTATATTTACTAAAGGAGATGATTAGGGTAAAAAATTTTCAAAAAGTGCAGTAGATGAAGACCAAAGGGAGGATTGGAGGATTTTATCATCTGAATTTCACTGCATGGATTTTATTGTAGTTTCCAAAATTATTAACATATACTCGGTATATAATAATTCTTTAGACGAAGCTATTAAAAAACAAGAAGCGAGAGATTAGACATAAAGAGCAATTATGTTTTTGGTTGCATTATCTATAACCAATGCAACATGCATGCTCATTCTGTGCTAAATTCAACTATTATTATTATTATTGATATTGGTAAATGTAAAAAAACAAAATACTACAGGTCTTGCAAGCGTATGCTGAGGTCCTCCAAATGGTCGCCACCATCAAATGCTGACATGGACACGGACACAGACTCACATTGAATAGGTAAAAATGGGGATGATACAGCCGACACCACAAACTGAGAGTGAGTTTGAGACCTTTAGAAGCCATTTTGCTTACTGCTCGTCAGCTTGTGGGCTATTTTGTCTTTCCACAAAGTTTAACTCTCTCTGGGGCGTCACGTCTACAAATCGTCTTTTGCTGGTAGGTATGATCTTGCTGTCATTTATGCAGATTCTTGGGTTCTAGTGACCAAATTGCCCTCGTTCTCTCCTTATAAATTTTCTGTTTTGATATAACCATTCACATAGCTTCTCTGTACCTGTTTTTCATCCATCTTCATTATTTAAAAGAGAAAACATATAGCGCTTCCTCTATTTATTTTTCTTTTTCTATACGTGTTTTATGTTATTTCTTTCTCTTTTACTAGTATAAATGTTAACTTCGCAATTTTCATTTCCTTAACAAGTTGGTATGGAGTAGATCAGTTACCACATTTGATCTAAGTAGATTTTGTACATGACATTTTACTTGTGTTCAAGTGAATAACTTCCTTTTCCTACTCCACGCCCCGTATATATTGATGTGGCAGTTATATTACACTTTGGAATAGTGCCACTCCGTGGCATGCTTCACTGGTGTCAAGGCCTAGGCTTGATGCGCTCTTCTATTTTGAAGGATAAGAGGCTAATTTAGCGTGGATAGTAACTCTTCAATGAAACAAATAACAAATGCACTAATTCCATCCTTACAAGCCAAAGTACTCAGGGAATATATGGTCCCTAGGAAGTCATTGACTAAGGTGGCCTGTTTGTGTGTGTGTAATATTCCCTGGAAAAGAGGTTTTTTTTAATTATAAATGTTATGGGTTTTTATCTCCAATTTTTATTTTTAATGATTTTTTTCATTTTCTTAAATAGTGAAGTTCTAGTTTTATCAAATCCTAATTTGTGATCTAAGACATGTTTTTATTTAAATGGTAAAATATACTCCCTCCGTCCCAATTTAAATTGCCCGTTTTGATTTTTGGGCATATTTAAGGAAAATAAAAAATATAGTTGATTTTTCGAAATTGCCATTACTTTTTAGAAGGGGTGATGATGAATGAGAAGAAAAGGTGAAGAAGAGTGACTTATTTTAGGGGTAGTTTAGGTATTTTATTTTTAAAAGTTTACGAAAACAACTAACAGGCAACTTATTTTGGGACGGAAAAAAAAGGCAAACAAGCAATTTAAAATAGGACGGAGGGAATACTTTTTATAAAATTTTTTTTATTAAAAATGAAAATATATAATATAACTACTGATTAATGAAATACTTCTATCCCATTTTCTTTTCATTTCAAACAATGGATGAACCTCTTCTTTTTAAAATTTACAAATTGGTATATCAATAAAAGTACAAATTACAATGTCTAAAATTATATCAAAAGTTTTACTCTTTCTGTCCCATTTTAAATTGCACGTTTTTTTTTCTCCGTCCCAAAATAAATTGAATGTTTTTTTTGTTATCGTAAATTTTTAAAAGTAAAAAAAAATCTAAATTATACTAAAATAAGGCATTCTTCTCCATTTTATCTTCTCATTCATCGTCACCCTTCCTAAAAATCAATGACAATTTCGGAACATCAACTCTATTTTTTTTCTTTCTTAAATATTCTCTTAAGTCAAACCGTGCGACTTAAAAAGGGGCGGAAGAAGTATAAAACAAAATGCGAGTAAAATATTTTTTTCATATTATAGGAGTATATGACTATGTTCGCCGACCAAACACATCAAAGCAAGGCACCCCGTGAGGTAAGCCAAAATGATGGTGAAATGGGGACAAATACAATCCCAACTTTCTCGGTTTGCAAAATAAGTAAAAATAGCTGAAATGATTTGCGAGGAAAATTTACCATTCATGTTTCCTAAAAAAATTAGAATTTAACAGGTTCCTTCTTAGCCGGACATTCGCCGGAGGCACTTCCACGCCGGCAATTGCAAATCGGCCACAGGTTCCTTCTGCACGTGCCACTGCAGGCCTCACCTCTCCTCGGCCACTGGGTTGTTAAAGATGTATGCACGCTGAAAAAGGAATGGAGACTGTAATCAGCTAAATGCCATCGATCCCATTGGAAAGAAAAACCAAATTAGTGGGGTCTTGACGCCAAAATTGGCCTGCTGGTCCTTTTCTTTCGTCCCCACCCCCTCCCCCGTGAACTGTGGGTTAGTAAATATATATGGGTTAAACTATTTGTACCCCACTTTGTACTCTATAGGTTTGCACCAACACTTTGGATTGGTGTAAAACTAATTTTTGTTAATGCACAAACATTTTGTGTCTGTGTAGTTAAACCATCAAAATGTTTGTGTATAACTGTGGTGTACAATTTGTGGTGTAAGTGTAGCATAACCCAATATATATTCATGGCCTCTGAGTTTTTATTTCTTACATAGCCACTTACCCTTTCCCAATTCTCCCGAAAAAGGTCACTTCTTGCTCAGAAATTCATCTTTTTTCTGGGTTTTCTTGTGTCCATCTGAATTGGGTTTTCTTGACAAAGTAGAGTAGGTATGAAACAGTGCGTTGCTAGGAGGTGGATGCTCTATCATCTTATCCTGTTTCTGCTTCTCTGTGAGTGTTTTATGCCTTTTTCTTTTCATTTCTTGCTACTTGTATTTGCTTCTTGAATGCTTGACCTGTTTATTGTTATTTTAAACAAAAAAAAGGAGATTTTCTCTCTTCACTGGTTTTTCTTCACAGGTATTTTACTCTATATGTTTGGTTCAAGGAATTAGTAAAAAAAATAGTTCTCTTATTTTCATGGCCAAAATTGGAAATTTTGATTTTCATATTTTAGTACATTTTGCCTTCTTTTTTTCTTTCTCATTTTATTTTCTAACCAAACAAGAAAATTTATTTTTCAAATGCATTTTCTTTTCCTTTTCTCTTTTAAATTCTTTTAACCAAACATATTGTTACGAAAATTGTAGGGTTTGTAGTTTTATTTTGATTTGTGGTTCATATTTATTGCAGTTTATCTGCTCTTATTGATCTGTGCTTCAATTACATTTATTATATACTCCCTCCGTCCGGAAATTTTCTTCTCGTGTTGACTTGGCACGCTTATTAAGGAATAGTAAAAAAATGTAAAATTTTCAAAAATGCACAAACTATAAACTTTTAAATCTTCTTTTATTATTAAAAAAGTATTAAAAAAGTAGATTTGTGATAAAATAGAAGGGTATTATTGATATTTAGCCTTAAAAATCATACTAAAAAAGGAAATGGGAAGATTATTTCCGGACGGACCAAAAAGGAAAATGGGAAGAAAATTTCCGGACGGAGGGAGTATTTCTTAATTCTTCAATTACCTTTCACTAGTAGCAGTGTTGCTCCAAAGCTCTCTGGTCTGTTTCATTTCCAAAATGTGTTAGGGCATGTTTTTTCCCCAGTAATTTGGCTGAAATGGCCTTTTTTTTTATAATGGGGAAGTGTTTGATAAAATCCATTTCATCCTAATAACCCTAAACACATTAATTTTATAATGAGAAATTTTGTTTTATCTCCTTTTAATACATTTTGCCTTTTCATTTTCTTTTCATTTCATTTTTCTTTTCTTTTCCTCTTTAACCAAACAAGAAAAACATTTTTCTTCTCATTTTCTTTTCTTTTCTTTCTCAAGTTTCTAAAACCAAACATAATGTTAATTTTATTTTCCTTGCATTTCCTAAGTTCCTAACGGTTACGGGCCCTAATGGTAGAGCATGCAAAAAATTAAAAATACAAAATAAAGAGAAAAATAAAACATAGAAGAAAAGAGATGGACAAAATGCCAGGTCATCCAGATGAAACAAAATAGTAGAATCTAAAGAGTGAATTTGCTCATAGTGATGGATTAATTTTGTTTACTTGGATGTGTGTAATAACTATAAATCCCATCTTTGATTGTTAATAACTTGTTACATAAATATCTAAGGTATGTGTAATAATTGCTTGTGTTGACTTTCAATATGCCAATGTTTATCGCCGTAATCAAGAATTTAAAAAAATGAGGAACTCTGTAGAGAGCCTCCTTGCAAGTAACACTATCTCTACATTATTTTTCTTCTCTAGTGTGCCCTTTGGTTTTCCCCGACATGAGCGGTAGCATTGAGGCTTGTAAGAATGAGATAAAGAATGAGACTGAGTGTTGTCTAGCCATGGGGCACTATGTTTCACACTTGCATAGGCAGAACTTTATCACTAACTCGCGAGCAGTGGACTGTGTTGATTCACTCGGCATGAAGTTACAGAAAGCTAATGTTACCCGAGATGTTTACAAGCTTTGCCTTATTACCCTCAAGGACTTTTCAGTTCAAGGTCAGTTTTGATCATTCAAGATTCCATTTGAATGTTTTTGCCCAATATGAAGATATATTCAGCTTATGCTAACCTCAATTCTTTTTCTTTTTTGTTTTCATCTTGGCATCCTGAAAACGACAATTCCAGTTACACCAGAAGGTATGTACCGTCTATTTGTTCACTTGTGAAGACTATACTTAGTAGTTTTAAAAATATTACTCCGTACATTGTTTTGTGGCTCTTTCAATTGTACTCTCTTCAGCTCAAGGTCAGTTCTGATTCTTAGGGATGCCATTTGAATGTTTTTGCAGCATATGAAGATAATTCAGCCATGCTAACCTCATTTCTTTATTTCTTTTCTTTTTCTTTTTCTTTTCTCATCTTGAAGATATATTCAGTTTATGCTAACCTCAATTCTTTTTTTCTCATATTGGCATCTTCAAAACGACATTTCCAGTTACACCAGAAGGTATGTACCTTCTATTTTTCACTTGTAAAGACTATGGTTAGTAGTTTTAAGTGCCTCGAGTGTTCAAACATAATGAGAATATAAATCAAATGATTCTTGATTATATTCATTCAAAGAGTCAATGCATATGAAATATCTAACTTATTATATTATAATTATATCATAAAATTATACTTTTTATAATAAGAAGCAAGTGAATCTCATTTTGGGTTGTTTGCTAGTAAGGTACGTGGCTAGACAACTTTTGAATGCGTCCCTGCTATCCTGAGAAAATTTAGGATTTCTCTTTATTCATTGAGGGCCTTACCTTATTGGTTTCTTAAGTTTTTTGCTTGATCCTTTGTTTGGAGATTCATTCCTCCCGATTTAGTAGGTTTAGTATCAGAGCTTTTCCACATCAACCTAAGCCCGACTACGTGAGAAGCAGTGTCAATTCGTTTATATTCCTTATATTCGTTTATAATAGAAGACCTTTCCGCCGTTGCTTCTCCTTGACCGAGAACATAAAAGTTGTTACCAATCCTACTAGTTAGGATGAGTTAGAGCAATTCTAGGAATAAGTTACACTAGCTAATAAATACAAGAATGGCTACACATGGTAATTAGATATAAGCATAATAAGTAAATATGAATAATATTTATTTATCCTTAATACGCCCGCGCAATGATGGAGGATCCGTTAAAGATTTCAATCTTAGACCGAAACTTATGAAACATAGCCCAACCTGGAGGCTTCGTGAGAATGTTTGCAGTCTGCTCAGTAGTAGGTAAATGCAACACACAAAGATGACCAGCAGCGGCCAAGTACTCCCTCCGTCCATGTAAGATGTTTTCAATTTGACTTTTCACGGTTTTTTAGGAGTGTTAAAAAGACTCTTGACTTTCCCATTTTTCCCCTCACTCTGCCTCTGAACAATTCACCTGTTCCTATTACTGCTTTGTTACCACCGCACATATAATAACCTCCCCCGCCGCCGCCGCTGCTACCACGACTGCCACCCCACTTTCACCGCCAGCCCCACCCTCATCCTAGTCCTCACAATCATCGTCAACCCACCACCGCTTGCGATCTCACCATTGTCGTGATTGTGGTCTAGATCTAGAAAATAAATGGAAGAAAAAGGGAGAGAGAAGAAGAAGAAAACAAGAAGAGAAGAAATATAGATCTAGACTCACCATCGCCGCCGCCTTCATCCCCACCACCGTCACCGTCATCTTCATTCCCCCAACGTCACCACCGTCCTCAGCCCCGCCATCGCTGCCACTGCCTTACCCCCACCATCGCAGATCTAGACGGCGAAGAAGAAGAATACGAAGGAGGAGAAGAAAGAGAAGAAACGAGAAAGAGAAGAAACGAGGAAGAGAAGAAAAACAAAGAAAAGAAGAAAAGAAGAAAAACAAAGGGAAGAGAGAAGAAGAAATATGGACAGACCAGTGGAAAAAATGGTGGGGGGGGGAGAAATGAAGAAAGAAAAAAGATTGAAGTAAGCAAGTGGCGGACGAAAATGGGAAAAAAGAAAGAAATAGAAGAGGGGTATTTAGGGTATTTTGTGTGTAAAATATGTAATGAGAAGATCTATGACGGACAAATAAAAAGGGTTAATGAGAAGATCTATAAGGTACGGAGGGAGTAGATTATTAATATATAATTTCTATAATTTTTAATATATAAATTACAAGATAACATGGATTAAAGAAGTGTATTAGATAGTGTGTAAAAATGAAAGTGGACAAATACTCTGGGATGGAGGGAGTATGAGGCACTCAACAAATGTAAGCAATAATCTGATGAATATAAAAGTCATTAAAAGAGACTATGTACCAGAAGGGTCAAGTTCTTACCTCTATTGTTTTTGCACTTAGAAATCCTCTAAGAACTTCTTTTGCACCAGAAGGTCAAGTTTGCTTGCCAACCAACGATGTACAACACGTTGACAGTCATTGGCTTTAGTTGACTGGTCAGGAAATACATTTGAAAGACCATAAGCTTTTGCAGCAAGCTTCTCAGTAGCTTCTGATATTGCACATTCACAGATTTGTTCAGGACACTTGATTCCAAAATAAAACTTCCTACACGAAGAAAGAAGGGTCGACGAGTCCACCGTGGCTTCAAATTCTTGAACATTACTGATCGGACAAGAACCTTTGGTGAGGTTGACGGGTTACAAGAGCATATTTGTTGTAGTGTATTATTGGCACCCTTACTCTCTAGAATCCTTTGAAAATCTGAGAGGCAATGCCTTGCAAGGTCCTATTTAAAGCAAGTTTATTTTTATTATGCCTTGCTGGATACTTTGCAAGTGGAGTAGCACAATCAATCAAGGTCAAGGCTATCATACTTTCCAAGGCAGCAAAGTTTAACGGACATGATCCTGAAAGGGAAATGAAGAAAGCGAGAGTTTTATATTTATAGTAATGGCGCCAAGAATCTAAGGCTCCGTTTGATAATCTTATTCAGCTTTATCTTAGCAGAATAAGCAAAATAAATATGTTTAGGATTATTTGAATGAAATGGATTTTATCAAACACTTCCCCATTATAAAAAAAAGGCCATTTCAGCCAAATTACTCGGAGAAAAATATGCCCTAACACATTTTGGAAATGAAACAGACCAGACAGCTTTGGGGCAACCGTACTTCTTTGTCTATATGGATGATATTGTGGTGACTAGAAACTCCGTGAAGTTTATTGATTTGTTTGTGGAGACACTATCTCGTCGCTTCTCTCTAAAGGATTTAGGGTCCCTCGTTCATTCTTTTGGGTGTAGAAGTTATTCCTATGTTTTCTGGTATATTTCTATCTCAGTCTCAATATATTTCTAACATTTTTGATAGCAAAGATATAGCGGATGCAAAGGGAACATGCACTTGTATGATGGCTCATGTGCAGCTTCACCCACAACTTTTTGTCAAGTACTTGGCCGCTGCTGGTCATCTTTGTGTGTTGCATTTACCTACTACTGAGCAGACTGCAAACATTCTCACGAAGCCTCCAGGTTGGGCTATGTTTCATAAGTTTCGGTCTAAGATTGAAATCTTTAACGGATCCTCCATCATTGCGCAGGCGTATTAAGGATAAATAAATATTATTCATATTTACTTATTATGCTTATATCTAATTACCATGTGTAGTCATTCTTGTATTTATTAGCTAGTGTAACTTATTCCTAGAATTGCTCTAACTCATCCTAACTAGTAGGATTGGTAACAACTCTTATGTTCTCGATCGGTCAAGGAGAAGCAATGGCGGAAAGGTCTTCTATTATAAACGAATATAAGGAATATAAACGAATTGACACTGCTTCTCACATGTTCAGACTTTGGTTGATGGGGAAAAGCTTTGATACTAAACCTACTAAACCGGGAGGAATGAAACTCCAAACAAAGGATCAAGCAAAAAACTTAAGAAACCAACAAGGTCAGGCCCTAAACGAACAAAGAGAAATCCTAAATTTTCTCAGGATAGCAGGGACGCATTCAAAAGTTGCCTAGCCGCTTACCTACTAGCAAACAACCCAAAATGTGATTCACTTGCTTCTTATTATAATAAGTATAATATTATGATATACTACCTCCGTCCCAAAAAGAAATTTTCTTTTTGACTTTTTCATGATTTAAGAGATGGATGTTTTGTGTTGATTTTCTAAAAATACCCTTGATGTGATGGATAAAAGTAAGATGTGATATGTAAATTATTAGCAAAAAGGTATGATGTGATCGATAGGGTATGAAAAAGTATGGGGTAAATTAAAAGTGGTTTTTTAATACTTAAGAAAAGTTCTTTTGGGGACAAAGAAAAAACAAAAGGGGAACTTCTTTCGGGAATGGAGGGAGTAATTATTATATAATAAGTAAGATATTTCACAAATCGACCTTAAGATCACTAATAAAAACACTTCGAATGTCATATAAAGTGACAAAAATTTTACTCCATATTTAGAAGATGCAAGATGACAATGCTGAGATTTTGTACTCATACTTAGTATAACTCTAAATTCTTAATTGCTACCAATTCTTATATGTTCATATGCATGCAGTTGAGATGATGACTCTGGAGAACCTTTACGTAAATGGAATAAAGGAATGCTTTTATGATCCCACCATCAATTTGCCATGTGAAGGTGCAGCTATGTGGGAAATTTGTATACCAGCATGCAAAAAGATGTTAGGAGGATACGCAAGTGGATGTTGTTCATGGGACACCCCTACGAAACATTGTCGATGCCGATGGATATCAAATGATGATACATGCTAAAAAAATGTATTCTTATTTCACAAGTGCCTAAGAAAACTAAAAAGAAAGAGGAATAATGTAAATGTGGTGCATTTATATATGCTTATTTAGTCTTCGAGACATAATACATACCCGTACTATATTTTAAACTTAAGTCCTACCGAGTAGTTTTTAACTTTTTATTCCCTCCGTCCCATATATTTTTAACAGAGCACCACTCAAATTTCACGAGACCTTTTATTTGTTTGCATTTTTTATGGCCTATATAATGAAATAATTTTTATCGTTACTTATTTTGTAGAATTCTTAATGTAGTTTTTAAATAAGTTTTTTATTTCTATACAAATATTTCAAAAAAAAATAAATTCAGAAAAATTGGAATTTTCCCTCATTTTGCACAATGCGAAATGTAAAATTAGAAAACAAGTACAAAAGTAAAATATTTATAGAATTGAAGTCGTCATGTTATTTCACTAGTATATATTTTACATGTAAATTTCATATGCACGTTTTTACATTATTGGATGTTTGACCAGAAAAAAAGAAAAAACAAATCATATCGGAACCGAGCCTAACTCCACTGATTCTAGCTAGGTCCGGTTCCCCTACCTGCCCGACCGTCTTCATCGATGGTGTGAGAAAACGATTGAATGAATGAATCTTTTATTAAGAAATCAAGATTTTTTTAGGCATCCATATATCCGTTCAAGAACTCAGCATTCAATACGGAGTATCCTTGGCAACCCACTAATAAATACTCCCTCCGTCTGGAAATGTTCTTCCCATTTGACTTTTCACGGTGTCTAATACTGCACTTTGACCATTAATATCTATATTTATACATAGATTTATTTTATTAAAATTTGATATTTGAAAACTGTGTTTCATTATGAATATATTGATATTAAATTTACATCATAATACAATATGTTTTTTCCACAAATCGTAGTCAAAGTTTATAAACTTTGACCAAGAAAAGTCAAATGTAAAAAACACTTTCGGACAGAGGGAGTAATAACTGTGGAATTTAACATGCCCTCTTTATTTTATACTCCGTACTTTTCTTATTAGAATTACAAATATGGTGTACAACTTACCAACTTACTACAGCCTTTTTAATTAATTAACTTAATTAATAAATTAAAATATAAATTATTTTTGAATTCTACAAATCAATGTAAATCTTATTTTAAAAATATAAACATAAATTTAATTAAAATAAGATGTATAAATATTGCGAGTAGGTTGTAAATATTTCTAATTTAAAATTTTTAATAAAAATTTAAAATTTTTCATAATAAAATTTAAAATTTTTAAATATTAAAAAATTATAAATAAAAAGGCTAAAGCAAGATATGGTATGGATAGTAAGTATATAGACAGCATGCCAATTTTTTTGTTGTGCCAATAAGGATGGGGTGGTGTTTACCTCTACACCAAAGTCAAAGTCAAAATCAACTTGTTGGGTGCAATTGACGGGGGTAGGGGGTGTGTTCGGGTCGGGGCCGGGGTGAGATGTTTACCAGGGGGTTAGGGGGGTAGGAACCATCAATTTTACGAACGGGGCACCGGAGCACCCCTGGTCATCCCATGACATTGGAACCCAATGTCATGGGAACTTTGGTGTAGATGGATATAATTTGGTAGCAAATTGATTTTGACAAGTCCATACCATACACCCAAAAAGATTGTATTTTATAAGTGGAGGTGCATTAAATTTTGTCAATTACCGTTTTAAGGCACATTTGTTGAGTTTTGAGGGTATGATAAGATATTAATTCTAAAATCTAGCAAATGAAAATAATATAGAGTTCGAAATCTGGGAAAAAAATTGGAGAGATTTTAAAATCATGATATATATAGTGATAGGCAGACATGACTAGCAACGAGAGTGGTTGGTGGTGAAATTGAATTACATGTATTTTCACCTACAGTTCTCCCAGATAACTTCTGCATTTACTATCTTTCACTTTCTCAAATCCAATAAACAATTCTAAACCCTATCTAGTACTGTTCACCCGGTGGTTAATTTACACCATCACATACAATTCGCAATTTTGTTAAGGAACAAAGGGAATATAGCCAAAATATATAGTTGCCAACCTCTATAATTGATGATTATGACTAATACAATCTTTTTCCCCATAATCTCTCGTCTCTATTCTCCCAATCTAGATTGAAATACAGATTTCGAAGCTCTCATTCTCATTACAGCAACTTCCTACCAGCTGCTATATCACAATGGCCTATTGATTCTTCTCTTATGTCAACATGCATGCTTCCTTTCTTTCTTCGTTTCCACATTTTGGGTTTTAATGGTTGGAGATGCTCTTACCATTTCTTCAGCCCCATCCGGTTCACTTTGTAATCAAATCTTGCAGATGATAGAATCTTTGATTCAAGATATTTTAAAAAATGCTCTCATAAAAAAATCCATTATTACTAAAGATTTCATCATAGACCTTGTAATAATAAATCACACACATTGTTTTTATTATTAACTACATATGTTTAGAATGCTTCTTGTTATCTTTTTATCATTTATAATAATTACAGATTATTTTTTCATTTCGTAAATGCATTTTCTCTTAAGGTGGCCAAGTCGAAAGATCACCTTAAGAGCAATTAGTGCACATACAAAATTGAAAAATAACAAGTAATTATTACAAACCATAAAAAAACAGCAATAAGCATTGTAGACATAGTTGATAATAAAAACAACACTACTCACAAGTCAAGCCCACAAGATCTACAATGAACTCTTTAGTAATCACTAGTTTTTAATGAGAGTTTCCTTGATTTCCACAACCTCCTTCAAGATCTCTTGAATTAAAGGCTTCGTCCTCTTACATTCTTTACATATTAGTAAGTTCCATCGGCTCGTTTATCATCACAAGCTTTGTGGCAGAAGCAAAACAAGCATTGTTGACATTGCCACAAGCAGAATAGACCCCAAGTCAAGAACGTAAACACCTAACAAAAACATAAATTTCCATCAACTGGTGCAACATGAACATGAAAACTAGTACCATTACTATTGTATAATGTATACAATGGCAGATGAATTCAGCATTCTTGGATAAATAAATTTAAAATTGGGAAATAATGCAAGTAAACGAATGAAATCAGAAGGATGGTATCCTTACAAGTTTCCCCTGATGATGCTGCAGCAGGAAGTGCAGGAACTTTGACAGCTGCAACAAGAAACCATTAACATACTATGATCCGGAAGGTCCATTGTATCGAAGAGAAGGAAAAACTTAACATACTTTTATTGCATGATGATGAAGCATGCAGCAGTGACGCAGATGGCCAAGGAGCTGGAATGTTATCATTCAAATCACACATAAAACTTATCCCAGTGGTTTGGTCAAGTGTGACATCTGAGGGCAAACTTAACAAAAGGCACCCGGAAACTGCCCCCCATGAAAACAAAACAAAAAATAAATAAATAAATTATAAAGAGAGTACGATTGAAAAAGCCACGAAACAATATACTAGTTTTAAAACTACTAAGCAGGGTCTTTACAAGTGAACAAAGAGAAGGTGCATACCTTCTGGTGTGACTGGAAATGTCGTTTTAAAGATGCAAAGATGAAAAAGAAAAAAAATTGAGGTTAGCATAAGCTGAACATATCTTCATATGGTGCAAAAACATTCAAAGGGAATCTTGAATTATCAGAACAAACTGACCTTGAACTGAAAAGTCCTTGAGGGTAATATGGCAAAGATCGAAAACATTTTGGGTAACATTGGCTTTCTGTAGCTTCATACCAAGTGAGTCAGCACAGTCCATAGCTTGCAAGTTAGTGATAAAGCTCTGCCTTTGCAAGTGTGAAACATAGTGCCCCATGGCTCTGCAACATGTTGTCTGATTCTTTATCCCGTTCTTACAGGCCTTAATGCTACGGCTCATGTTGGGGAAAACCAAAGGGCACACTAGAGAAGAAAAATAATGTAGAGATAGTATTACTTGCAAGGAGGCTCTCTACAGAATTCCGCATTTTTTTAAATCTTAATAACGGCGATCAACATTGGCATATTGATAATTAACACAAGCAGTTATGCATACAATAGAAATTTATGTTACAGGTTGTTGACGATCAAAGATGGGATTTATAGTTAGGAACTTGGAAAATGCTAGGGAAAGAAATTTAGAGAAGCATATAGAGGTAATTTGGAGGGTATGAACATCTGAGAAAAATAAAACATTGGTTCTTACTCAATAGTAATTCTTTTGAATTTTTTTGTATATTACTCCATACATACTTGAAGATTAAGAAATATACACATGTAAACTTTTGTTACAACATCAAATTTTTTCTTTGCATTTTCCTCAATAAAAACAACCACAAGAACATAACTTTCGTTGGATTTTCTTCCCCCCTTCCCATAGAATTTTGTTAAAGGAAATAGAATTGGTATTTGGCAATTATTATTTTGGATATATATTATTTTGGTATGAGTTATTTATGATATAAGATTCCTTGTATAATTCTGTTTCCTTTGGACTCTTAACCTATTGAAAAGCTTTCCCTATTTATAATTTTTTCTTGCAAATTATTCTCATAAGAAATACAAGAGAGTTTTACTCAGAATTTTTTTCTTAACACGAAACAGAGCCCTAAAATAATTTTCACTTCACTGCTGTGCTTTCCAGGATCCAAACATACCCTTAAAGTAGCTGAGAGCTGACTTCAAATACAAGTTGAAGCACATACTATAAAGGCATGGTTGATTTGTTCACATTACTGAACAAACGGTGCACATTACAGTTTGTTCACAACACTCTGTCACATTGTTTCTGTCCCAATCAATGTCCACACTTTATATCTTAGCATAACACGGGGTGGGGGTGGAGGGGAGGCAACAAATGTAAGAAACAATCTGATGAATATAAAAAGTCAATAAGAGAGAACTATTTTTATTCCTTACCTCTATTGTTTTTGCAGCTAGAAAGCCCTCTAAGAACGTCTTTTGCACCAGATGGGTCAAGTTTGCTTGCCAACCAACGGAGTACAACGCGTTTGCAATCATTGGCTCTAGTTGCCTGGGCAGGCAACACATTTGAAAGACCATAAGCTTTGGCAGCAAGTTTCTCAGCAGCTTCTGATATAGCACTTTGACAGATTTGTTCACAACACTCGTTCACAAGATCAATCTTCCCACACAAAGAAAGAAGGGTCGACGAGTCCACTATGGCTTCAAATTCTTGTACAGTACTGATTGGGCAAGAACCTTCACTGAGGATTGATGGGTTAAGAGAGCAGATTTGTTGCAGTGTATT